TCATTAACTACTTAGGTTACCTACAACCTTCTCATTAACTACTTAGGTTACCTACAATCTTCTTATTAACTACTTAGGTTACCTACAACCTTCTCATTAACTACTTAGGTTACCTACAATCTTCTTATTAACTACTTAGATTACCTACAACCTTCTCATTAACTACTTAGGTCACCTACAACCTTCTCATTAACTACTTAGATTACCTACAACCTTCTCATTAACTACTTAGGTTACCTACAACCTTCTCTTTAACTACTTAGGTCACCTACAACCTTCTCATTAACTACTTAGGTCACCTACAACCTTCTCATTAACTACATGGGTTACCTACAACCTTCTCATTAACTACTTAGGTCACCTACAACCTTCTCATTAACTACATGGGTTACCTACAACCTTCTCATTAACTACTTAGGTTACCTACAACCTTCTCATTAACTACTTAGGTTACCTACAACCTTCTCATTAACTACTTAGGTTACCTACAACCTTCTCTTTAACTACTTAGGTCACCTACAACCTTCTCATTAACTACTTAGGTCACCTACAACCTTCTCATTAATTACATGGGTTACCTACAACCTTCTCATTAACTACTTAGGTTACCTACAACCTTCTCATTAACTACTTAGGTTACTTACAACCTTCTCATTAACTACTTAGGTTACCTACAACCTTCTCATTAACTACTTAGGTTACCTACAATCTTCTTATTAACTACTTAGGTTACCTACAACCTTCTCATTAACTACTTAGGTTACCTACAATCTTCTTATTAACTACTTAGGTTACCTACAACCATCTCATTAACTACCTAGGTTACCTACAATCTTCTTATTAACTACTTAGGTTACCTACAACCTTCTCATTAACTACTTAGGTTACCTACAACCTTCTCATTAACTACTTAGGTTACCTACAACCTTCTCATTAACTACTTAGGTTACTTACAACCTTCTCATTAACTACTTAGGTCATCTACAACCTTCTCATTAACTACTTAGGTTACCTACAACCTTCTCATTAACTACTTAGGTTACCTACAACCTTCTTATTAACTACTTATATTTTGTTTTAATGTGTTACCTGTCTCTGGAACCATTCCTGATATTTCTTGTGCTGACCAAATTTCACCTAAATTCATAAAACACATAAACATTAGTTATGCATGTATTTCTTTCATACAAATTCATATAATGCATATTCTAAAGTCTCTTACAATACACAAACTTCTTTATTATATAATATACATGTACAGTGCGGACTCATTATTATGGTGACAGTTTTACAAGATAGAACGCTTATTACGTTGTAAATACAAAGCACAAAACCATTTCTTAACAAATCTATACAAAATAGAACTGTTTATTACGATGTCCTTAGATGCCGGGACTCGGTATTACGATGTAAAAATTCTGTCCAAAATTTTTTTCACTCCGTGTTTATTCAGTGCTGATTGATGGTAGACACTTAAGGAGATGCTAAATAAACATTGAAACACATGTGCTCTGACAGAGTGTTAACCTACAGACCCGTTAGGTGATTAGTGACGCTTGACTGCACACACCTTGACTGTTCTAGCGAGGTCAGCAGAATTGGAGACGTGTCAAAGCCATTGTTAAACAATTAAACTGTTTATTTATAAATGTAGTCTCTAGTTTATCTATCTATGTTAAGTTTATTTTATTATTTTTTTTTTTACTATGGTTAATAAGTAAAATTAATTTATTAAATATAAAGATTACATTTAATCGTATGCATGTATGTTAAATACGTAATGTGTTATTTCGTTTGCAGTTAAACTGCGGAATGGACAGCTTGGGTATCAAACATAATTTTGGCAAAATTTGAACCCCAATAACATTTTAACAGCTTGGGTAGTGGCTTGGACTACCTCACAGGTGTCAGCTGAAATACAAATCGATAATTGCTGAACTGCTAATTGAACTCTGTTCCGTAATTTAAAAATTCAAATTTATTTTGACATTTAGCTTGTATGTTTTCAAATCCTGTCCATGAATATGCCTATCACACTGCCCACTTTCATCAGTTGTTCACTGCAGCTCTAAGCTCAATGAACACCCAAAACCGCCCAGTGATGTATTGTTGTTGTTTATGTAGTAACGATTCGAAGACATTGAAAATTTTACAAACGCATTATCTAGACAGAAACGAAAGTAAAAGTAAACGGAAATGGTGGCAGATAAATGTGGACAGAAACGAAAGTAAAAGTAAACGAAAAAGGTGGCAGACAAATGAAGATTGCCGAAATTTTTATAAAAAATGTGCACATTTCTTTTAAAATGAAGGAATTAGAAGAAATAGCATCATGAAGATATCTATTCAAGATAAGTTATTAATAAATTATATGTATATAGCGTTTTAATGAAGAATTTGAACAGAAGAAGGAAACAAAAGGAGAAAAATACACCTCCTAGTATAACAACAAGCTTTCAAAACGATCTTTTACTGGATTTTATTGGGAACTTTTATCATGTTGCCCTCGATATTACGATATTTTACCGTGACAAAATGAACATCGTAATAACGAGTCCGCACCGTATATGCAAGGATAAACACTTGACTTGAATGTGATAGCATTATATTTACCTTTGTGATGAGGAAAACCAGTTTGTTTTCCATGTCTGGAGTCAATCGACTTATCAGGTATTTTCTCGATGTCCTTGTGTGCATCAGCTGCTGGACTCCTACAAAACACAACCAGATCATAACAGAACATTATGCTAATCTAAATCTAAGACATGACCTTTGAAGTCTAAGATACAAACTACATACCAGTAAATGTTGGACAGATTGCTGTAGGATTCAGCATTATATCTCGCCACAGTTTTTCAAACTCTGGGATTCTAGCGACATTTTGTAGAAGACAGACTAAATCTCTTCCCACTGCTTGACAATCTGTCCACTGCAAAATAAATTATAAATAAAAGCCACATTGTTTACATACAATGTGAATGATTTTTTTAATTACCAAGTTTGTCAGCTGTGTTGAATTTGGTACCTTCTCTCGTAGAATTGAGATACAAAGGTCCACCTCTTTCTGTCTAAGATTCACAAACATCTGTCCATTGTGATCAACAATCACTCGGAGATACGTATAAACTACTGTGGACAGAAGATTGGGGAATTTGTCCAACCAAGGTCTACAAATAAACAAAAATGTTAATAATGTTTTTTTTCCTATCAAAAGCTCTTGAAAGTGTGAGAATATGTTCATTCTCCCAAACGATATGTAATTCAACATTTTATGATAGAATCAATTTTTATTTAAGTCAGGATTAAATGACTTTACTTTCCAATGTCCTTTTATTTTTCAGAATATCATATTTATAAAGTTTGTATGATATGGCATGGATATAATGTACATTATCTGCATGCAAGTCTATTTCATTCAAGTGTTCACTTACCGATTCTCAGTAAATATGTCGACCATAACTTCTGTTAACCAGATATTCTTTGGAGTTATATCACCACCTTAATGTAGAATAGAAGCCTTGTAAAATCTTTTTTGTAGTTATCAATTAAATTTCTCTAAACATATTGGTTAACTATGGGTTTATTCACTGATCTTGACTAACCTGCTATTTGTCTGATCAGACTATGACACACACTGTCTGCTCCAATAATTCCATTCTGTATCAGTTCCTTACATAACCACACAATCTGAAAAAAAAGTTATGTGTTCTGTATCAGATAACATTCCCTGATTCTAAAAAATGTTTGTGCTTTTGTCCTCTGCAGTATTTTAAATTTATTTAGTCTATCATCATGATCATATACCTGTGATCTTGTGTTGTCCAGTAACTTCAACCATTTTTCAAAAACAACTTGATTAGTTTTAGTCAATACAATGGTAAGACCATCTCGGCTAACCAAAGTCATGTCTCTGTAATGCTAGAAAAAAAGCAGGTTCATCGTAATTAATATCAAACAACTAAGAAGTATTGTAAATTCAGCTGAAAACATTACAAGTTGATTTACCAACCTTTGGTGCCATTTTGGGATCTGTAAGAATCCCATATAGTAATCCCAACTGAATTTCTTCATGTTGTTGAGTTCCTCGGCATGCCTATAAAGAAAATCACAGATGTAGCTTGTCTCAAACAAATAGAGTACAGTTTAATTCCAATCTGTGTCAATACTTACATAAGAGTTAAGTGCATCATTTGCTTCTCTTTCCGACAAACTGTTTTGAATTCCAATTACTGTATTATAACACCTCTCCAGTTTCTGCAATGTAACACTTAGAACTTAAAGTAGAAGACGTCTGAAATCAGTTTTGTTCTGACAGTTACACTAAGTATATTAAAAAACATAAGTTTATTAGCATTTCTCAAAGGCAGCAACTGAAGCATACATATTAGTTTTAATGAAGAGAACCATTACATACCTCATTTACTTCATCTTTTGGTTCCAAAACAGATGTTACCACAAGTTTCGAAGGTGACAATCGTGAAGCTTGTTCCATTCTTCAATACACAACTAAATTAGTTTTAACTGTCACTCCTGGTAAAATTACTTCATCATTGTGTCAACTTCATTCAATTCCTGCATGTACAAAGGGGGGTAACTCGAATATATTGAACTTGTCCGCCATATTTGTTGTCAATACTTGCGTTTTATACACTTGTTGAGCTAAAATGCATCACAAAATTTGAATGTGACCACTCATAATTTTTCGGAAAATCTCTGTTAATGATGTATGTAATTTTCAGATCAATAAAAACGGCTAGTTTTGTCTATAGTAGTGTTTCTTTCCGAGCTCTACTTCCTTTGCGTGCGCGTATCGTATATGGGTTCATTGTGTCGTGACGGCATATATTTCTCAAAATACGTAATATTTGTTTAGAATTAAATTTAAAACGTTTTTGCATTATATATTCAATATATAATATAACGGATCTTTAAATTTAATTTAAATGAGACATACATGTATCTTTTTTATTTTACGACTTCACCTCTGACTACTTCCGGCATTGTCGTGCACCGGGTACAACACGAGGAGGAATCAACAGATGATGCAATAAGCAAGAAATATACAAGATTTTTGGTATAAAATTGTGCGATTTTGTTATCTGACATTGTTTAAAGAAAGCCAAATTACACAGAAAAACATGGAGGGCGTGGAACAAGCAACGCAGCAGTTAAAAATTGGTAAGTCAATATGGTACTTTTTAGACTGTCAGTCTGTGGGTCCGTCTGCATATATAATTATCCATTTAAAGGTACGCCTTTGTAAAATAGCTTTTCAAATTATTTGTAGGGTAGAGGCTTATTAAATGCCCTTGACATTTAAACTAGACTATTATGAAATAACACACAAACCACATTCAAAGTGAACAGACATGTTTTCTGACATAGGTTTAGTAGGTGTTCTTATCATGATGATCTAAAACAACATATTGATCACTGTTTGGTAAGAATATACACCAAGTTGGTTAGGATAACAGACTAAGCTTAATATTAACCCCTCTTTCCACAAAATGTGAAAATAACGAACAGTGATCATTCTCACAATACAATTATGAGCAGAACCAACACAGAACTCTGAAAACAGCTAGAGGTTGGATCAGGTGCCATGGAGGAGTAAGTATCTTCTGTCAGCCAGTCACACCCACCATGTGCTCTTGTCTTGTCATGATCAAGTGAACAGAAAAATCCCATAGACAATTCCAGGAATTTATCAATGTTGTGTTAACTACTGGTAAACGGTACTTTTTCCCTTTTGGGAAAAAAATGTCAAAATTCCCTTTTAAGTCGCAGTAAATTTCTGGATTAAACAGACATCCAACATTTGAAATATTTATGATTTTATTTATGATAGTGCTAGAAATGATCCCCCATATAAGCTCTCAGAATGCAGATTTTTGCCACATTTATTTGAAAATGCCCCTGGGCTCCCATAGTATATTCAAACTTCCAGCGCCATTGTCAACCAATCGTTCTCATTTTCCCGCTTTATGTGAAAAAGATAATCAAATAAAATAGCTAGATAAATCCCTGAATTCAGTATGAAAATAATGGCCTAACAATTTGTATGAAAGACGTCAGTCAACATTCGACTTAAAGACCACAGAATTTGCCAATGTTTACTTTAAATAAAAGTGTTGATATCCTTGTATTGTCAACTTATTGGTCTATAGCCTGCCTTGTTTTAGTAATTGTTTATATGTAGAGCATGCTTTTGCATATCAAATCAACTGGGAGACATAAACTCTATACAGTTACGCAATGGGTAATGGTATATTGCTACATGAATAAGACTAGTTGATGATAGAAAAATGGATGTTATCACATTTATCATTAAATTTAGTTCTCGGTTTGCCTTTAATGTCTTTAGTAAAACATCCAAAGATGAAACAGATGTGTCAGACTCTGTGGTTGTCTTTTATTCGAGTTCAATTGAACATATTAAATCAAAAGTAGGAATGAAACTAAATATTGTTTTTTGATAAAACATTGTAGTCCTTTGAAGGCCACAGAAGAAGAATTCTTCTTTTCTTGTAGAAGTTTTCATACAAATTCTGCTTCATACAAATACAAAAACAGCTCTTCTTACATGCAGTATAACAAAATGGATTGGATACAATACATTTAGGGATGTAGTTATGCAGGCTGCTGCAGAAGCTTGTCTTAACTTCTACATCTGACCAAAATTTTTCACTTTAAGCTTTCAAAGCAGGTCAGTAAAGTATATGAAACTTTTATGAAACTTATCTTGCTTTTACATATTTGGAGAAAGACCTGCTGTAAAAAGTTTAACACCTCTGAGGTTTCCCTGTCTAGTAAAACAGGAAAATTTAAAATGGAAGTATCATATTCTATGAGTTTTAACAAGTCTTCCTTCTTTCTTTGTTTAAGCTAACAGGTACTGCAATGGCGGATTTAAGGGGGGGGCGCCCCCTTAAAATTGTCAAAGTTAGCGTAAATCTTAGTTTCATCCAGAAAATGTAAAAATGTCTACTCGGTAGACCTCATTTTTACCCTACAAAATCTCTAGAATCCAGGAGCTTCACCCCCTGGACCCCCACCAGAGCTTTGCCCTGGACCCACTGGGGGCCTTAAGGCGGCCCCCAGACACCATGCCTACTTTTTGCGCCCCCTCTAACTTCAGATCCAGGATCCCCGCCTGTACTGGTTTTTTAAGTTGTCTATATTGTATTATATCCAATAAATATGGGGGAGATGCTTGGTGATGCTTGCTGTTAGGTACTGTAGATCACCAAATTTTTGCAACACCTTATTTTCATGAGAATGTTGTTTAACATTTATTAGCAAGACAAAATGTCTTGTGAATTCTTGTTCTGTTGTTTATAATCTTAATAATTGAAATATATGCAATTGTTGAAGTTTTTGCAAGCAGACTTATATTTTTTCATATTAAGTTCTGGTTTGTAATAGATAATGCAATTGTTTGAGATGATGTTGATGAAGAAACAGAAACTTGATACAATTTTTCCTTTTTTCAAACAGCAAATTAGTTGTGTTTTGTGATCGAAATTCAGAACAAATTGTCATTTGTAAGGACAACAACAAAGATTGTAAAACATGTCATAGCTGTGGATTGTGACAACTACATGTATTTTACTTCAGTTTAATAATTTTATAGGAGTGGATCTTTTTCCTGTTTATTTCACTAGATAGATTAATGTATTTTAAATTTGTATCATGTTACATCTGAGTTACCTGGCAGGTGTGATCAGAATACAATACATTGACATTTTGTAATTCAGGTGAGATTTACACCTCAGAAACAACAGGAAATGATGACACCGGTGAGGGCACAAAGGAAAAACCCTTTAAGACTATTCTTAGAGTAAGTCAGTAAAGTTATAAATAGATAGAATTAATATTGAGTTCACCAGCAAGGTGAAGAAGTAACAGTTAAGCCATTTATATTTTGATAATAATATCATTAGTTTTTACATTGTGGACAACATTACTTTTTATTTTGTGATATAACTCAGCAAAGTCTGGGAGATAGTAAATAAATTTCTGCTTGCCCTGGATATATAAAATTTGAGCCTTGGGTCTTTTTATAATTTTCCTTCTTATTTTTTTTTTCATTTACAAATACAGGAATTGATTTATAACTGTTCCTGTATTTCAGGCCATGAAACACGCAGGACAGGAGCCATTTCCTCCCATCTATGTAGACAGTAAGAAGGAAAATGAGGTGTGTATAACAGATGAAGGCTTTAAACCCCAGAGTTGATAATCAATTATTTAGAAAATGTTGTTAGTGATTTTTTAATAATTTTCATTACTAAAATGAGAAATTCTTATTATTTTTTATTTTAATAGAAATATGAAGTCGCCTCAAAGTCACAACTGAAGAAGATTACCAAACAGTTTGTGCGAGACCAGCATAAAAAGGCGGACATGACAGCCAGAGAGGTTAGTAACAGCTGTGTTGTTAGATGTTTCGCTGGGTTATTACCGCGGGTAAGCAAAATTATTGTAATAACCAGATAACATGAAAACTTAAAAGTACTTGTCAAGCCATGTAATTTCAGTTGGAGAAAATCCTTTGTGGTTATTTTTGTTATCACCCAAACTTTGCAGAGTGTTTTCAGATATTTATGTCTGTATTTATATGAGCCCTTGTGAAATATTTTCTACAGTTGAATCTTGTAAAAATTGTCCAGTTGACATGACTTTGTTACTTGTAGGCAGAAGATGCTGAGAGGAGAGAAAAAAACTTAGAGGAGGCGAAAAAGATTGTGATAGAACTGGACAAGTCATTGCCAGCCCCTCAGCAGGTGTCAAAATTTATCTAAACACTCACAAACAGGAGTCGGAATTCATCTAAACATGCACATAGTTTAGATGATGGTAGACCATGACAGATTGTCCTTACATTTTACAATAGTGATAGAATACATCATGTATCCATGTATTCAACAACATTAATGACTAGAAATATATGTATACAAAGTAAATGTTTTCTGTTATGATAAACAACGTGTTTGAATGTGAGATTCCAACATCTTTGTTGTAGATTAAGATTCGTCATGCTGTTCAGACGAGGGATGTTAGAGTCAAGATTTTTGGTTGGGTGCACAGGCTTCGTCGTCAAGGTAACACTAAATTTTAAGATGTAGACTTAAAGAAGTATTCAACATGTACTCAGTTTGTTAAATAAATGTCATATTTTTTTCTTTCAGGAAAGAATCTCATGTTTATAGTTTTACGCGATGGAACTGGTTTCTTGCAGTGCGTTCTCTCGGATAAGCTGGTAAGTCTGTGTAGATTTGACCTAACTGTAACATGATATGGACAGAGTAATAATCTAAATCCATGTTACTGCCAATTGGAAGCAGAGTGCTGCTCTTCTGATGTCATTTGAATTTTTGTTTTTAGTGTCAGACTTATGATGCTCTACTGCTGTCAACAGAAGCAGCCATTTGTGTTTATGGTGTCATCAAACAGTTGCCAGAAGGGAAAGTGGTAGGTGCACATTATAAAAAATAGTGAAAGATTTCAGTTTCATTTCTGTTTTCCGAAACACTGGTAACCATTTGCAACTGTATTTTAAAGACAGATAAGTTGTAAATTAATTTTACTGTGAATGAAGCATATCTATTGTGTTTCACTCTGAATGATCTGTAATTCCAAAAGTTTTTTTTTTTAATTATTACATTTATGAAAATATTAATTCATATTTGTAAATGAACGATTCTTATGCCTGATGACAGTTGAGGTCAGTGAGCTTTATTTCAGGCTCCTGATGGACATGAGCTGACTGCAGACTTCTGGGAACTGATAGGTCCCTCCCCACCAGGGGGCGCTGACACCATCCTCAACGAGGTACAGTACATATAATGACATACTCATAATTTGATATATCTTAAAGTTACTGTGTAAATGGCAGTGGCTGTAAGAAAATGAACATCCTAAAATAATGAGATAATGTATTATATATACAAGTATATAATATTGCTCTGTTTTGTAGGAGGCTCATGTTGATGTGCAATTAGACAACCGACATATGATGATTCGAGGAGAAAACGTAAGTAAAGTCAGGACAATTTCAAATGTCAGAGCTACGTAGGATTTAAATTGTTTAAAAAAATACCTGTATGTTTTGTTTAATTTCCTGTTGCCAATCTGTTTGATTCCCTTACAGACCTCAAAGGTGATGAAGATGAGGTCTATCATAATGCAGGCCTTTAGGGATCATTTTATTAACCGAGGATACTATGAGGTTAGTCAGGGAATGATATATCAAGTAGATGTTTACATACAGTGCACTTGTAAATCCTACTTGGTTAAGTAATTTATTTTCTGAAAGATTTCTTTAATTAGTATCTTATACATAAATTACCTAACTGAAAAATCACATATTTTCGTGGGGGCAAATTTTCGTGGCTTGAGGAAAAAATGTGGGTTCGTGGGAATTTGATTTCATGGATGAAGAATTGTTGAATAGTAATATGTGTGAAAAATTACATTTCATGGTGGACATAAATTCATGGGTCTCTTCGTACCTCTAAAACAACAAAAATTAAACCCCCATAAAAATGAGTGATTCTACAGTATCTCCTTTTATTTTCTTTGCTACAGATCATACTAGATTGTTGTCATATTTACAGGTGACACCACCTACTCTTGTACAAACACAGGTGGAGGGAGGATCTACGTTATTTAAGCTGAACTACTTTGGGGAGGAGGTAGGAAATGTTGGAGTCAGATTTCTGACATGAATTTATCCCCCTTCATTCTTGCAGTCTCTAGCTAAATATTTCCATTTGTAGGCTTACTTAACCCAGTCCTCTCAGCTGTACCTGGAGACGTGTATCCCTTCAATGGGAGACGTGTTCTCTATAGCTCAGTCTTATCGAGCCGAACAGTCACGGACCAGGAGACATTTAGCAGAGTGGGTATTTCATGACATTTTTTAAATAAGTACAGTTCAAAGCTGTTTGTTTTTGATTCAGATATATCTTAGTGGGATATTTAATTTTTTGTGAAAAATGAATAAAAAGATTTGTGGATATATATATATATATATATATATATATATATATATATATATATATATATATATATATATATAAGTAGACTTTGTTGCATATTCAGGTACATGTTTTAAAATCTACCAGGAAAGTGATCGATCTTCATTATAGCAATTCTATTTCTAGATTTGTACATATAAATTTATAATCTTCCTTTCTTTGTACCAGGTACACCCATATAGAGGCTGAGTGTCCATTCATCAGTTTTGAGGACTTACTGAACAAATTAGAGGACCTTGTGTGTGATGTAGTGGACAGGGTCCTGAACGGCCCGTATGGAAACATCGTGAAGGAACTCAACCCTGTATGTCTGTCTGTCTCTCAGGGGTGTGCAATTACCATCGCCTGACGCCCGGGGCTACCAATTTTAGAGATCGGGCTATCATAAATCTATACTGTGTTAGCCCATCGGGCTAGTAAATCTAAAACAAAAGTATACGTATTTTTACGGCGACTGAATAGATGTACGAATTAACCTTGTTGTAAAATCATAATCTTTAATTCGTTTTAACCTATATGTTTTGTGTGTTGCTATCGCCAGTCGTTTCAGTGACATAATAATTATAGTCGATAAAAATATGGAGAAAAAAGCGCAAACCATTATTTGTTTTATTTATTTCAACTTAAATTTTTTTTTAACCTTTTTGTTATACTTATACATGTATTGTTTTCGGTAGTTAATGGGCTAGTGACTGGCAACCTCGGGCTAGTAACTTTGTTACTGCCACTAGCCCGACGGGCTAGTAACTAATTTTTGTAATTGCACACCCCTGGTCTCTTACTTATATTATGTACTAGTATATACACACACATTATTGGTATTCAGCAATTTTCTCTTCAGTTTATTCAAGTTAAATTCTATTTATGAGGACTTTGTTTTTCTCATAATTTTGTAAACATGTTTGCATGTGGAACCATAGAACTCATGAATGAAAATAGGTAGTAACCTGTATTACTTATATATATTGTACAATTGAAACATGGAAAGAAAACTAGAGAGTAAAAGCAGTGGCATAGTCACACACACACAAAAAAAATGTTCAAAATTTACAAAATGTAAGTGATTTACCTCAAGTTTAAATAAATCATGGTGTTATTGAGTAGCATTCAGGGTATTTTGGGTCATCGGCCTAATTACAGACAAATTATTATAGGAATTTTTTATTTAGTTTTTTCCTACAATTTTTCATATGAAAATCTAATTCTATCTGTTCATAAAGTTGAAAGTACATATAGTTTGATTTATTTTATTTTAGGACTTTAAACCTCCAAAGAGGCCTTTTAGACGACTGGAATACAAAGATGCCATTACATATCTAAAGGAACATGACATTAAAAAAGATGACGGGACGTTTTATGAATTTGGAGAGGTAAATACATGTATCTAAGAAATTCTGTTTTCAAAATGCATTGGCTTTATATCAATCTGAGAGCCAGATTTTAAGCATTTTATTATTTGTCTCACAAGGCTGTGAGGTAAATACATATAGATCAGAAATGATCTGTACAGTTGCTGTTTTTAGGACATTCCAGAGGCTCCAGAGAGAAAAATGACAGACCAAATCAATGAGCCAATCCTTCTGTGTAAATTTCCCGCTGAGATTAAGTCGTTCTACATGCAGAGGTGTGCTGATGACCCAAGGCTCACAGAATCAGTAAGTCACACATCTACATGTTTTATGTATCTGCTTGTTATACTCTTATTATTCTTTATTTTATAGAAGTACATCTTATATGACAGTATATAACTGCATGGTCCATGTTAGGGAAGGGAGGTGTTAGTTTTTCCTGTGTCTCCCCCCTCCCTCTCTTCCTGTTGGAAAGTTTTGCCAGTTTTCCTGTTCAAAGGAGTTTAAAAGTTGTTTATTGTTATTTGTACTAGTAAAAGTTAAATCCATTGTATAATAATTGGTGTGTTATGAAATGGAAATTTTTGCTTAGCACAATATAACAGGTGTACTGCTATAATGACTTCAGTAAGATTGAACTTGTTTATGTTACACTTTAATGTTAACTGTTGTTTTGGAGTACAGAGATCAAAATTTGAGAATCGTCATGTTACATTATAGATTTTCTCATCAATAAATATTACCGGTAATAATTGACATATGCACTTGACTCTTCATTTTGGACAGCATTTACAAGGAGAGTGTACATTTGTATTTGTTGTGTGGTAAACGTATTACGTTGGTGTTGTTTAGGTTGATGTCTTGATGCCCAATGTCGGGGAGATTGTGGGAGGGTCTATGAGGATCTGGCATCACGAAGAATTGATGGAGGGATTTAAACGGGAAGGAATTGATCCTACCAACTATTATTGGTACACAGACCAGGTACGTCACCAGCTAACTTAATACATGTCGTGCTCATAACTTGTAGAATAGTATTGATTTTGGAAGTGATTGGCATAAGCTATATTACCAGTTAAAAAAATTTTCTATGACAAATGAAAATTAAACTGCTTGTATATGTACATGTATGTATCTCTATGGAAGGCTCTTCCTCTCCAGGTTGTATGTTGCCAAGAAGGGAGTGTTTAGTTGTTTTGCGTAAAAGGAGACATGTAAGTTGGTGAATATTACAATGTTTAATTTTTTTTTTCTGACAGAGGAAGTATGGAAGCTGTCCCCATGGAGGATATGGTTTGGGGCTTGAGAGGTTCATGTGCTGGTTACTGGACCGTTACCACATCCGAGAGGTCACACTGTACCCTCGCTTTATGGAGCGATGCAAGCCATGATCATAGTGATAAAATAAGACATAATTTATCATACAATTTTACCCCTCCCCTGGACTTCTGTGACACTACTTATTTAATGTGCATTAATAAATTCATTATTGTATGAGGCCAAATAAAAAAATATGTGAGGTTCCGGTTACCCGACCTTCCCTATTTTATACCCCTGACCCTAATCTTGTTTTTGGCAATTTTCATATTTTTTCCGGAATTTTCCCCGATTTCCATCAATGACTCCAGTTTAAGTTTTAGTTTCAGCAATGACGGCCTCCTTGCAAAACATAGTTTTATAGTGTTAAATCCAAAGCAAACTAGCATGTAGGTGTCCCTTACCAATATTGACTAGTATATTATCACACCACATCTAAATGCCATTTGCAAAGCAGTTATAGGTATTATTTCTAAAGAAAAAATTAGGAAAATCATTTTGCTAAAAAAAAAAAAAAAAAAAAAAAAATCCCTACCTACCTACCCTAATTTTTGTGGAAGTGTAACCGGAACCACACATATTTTTTTGTTTGGCCTGAGGAAATAAATGTGAAAAAATTAATGACCCAGGTTGTATTTTTCACAGTGTTAGAGGGCTGTGCAGTAATTCATGTTACATGTAATAACAAAGAGGTTAACAATGGAGCAAAGGTTATTTGTCAACAGTTATACAGAATAAATTATATGTACAATGTACATGTATTATTTAAAAATAAGTAAATACTTTTTTAATGAAGACATTTTGTATTCTTATGAGGTTTGTTAAATAACCAAATTTAAATTTATACACATTTCAATTAATAGTGTCGCAACAGTGCCACCATCTACATTCACCTCTGTCATTGGCTCACTTATATCACTATGAATAGTATCACTATGAATAGCACAATATTGTGCATTTGTTTCAATTCATGTATAATACATTTTTTTCTTCAATTTTTCTGTCTTTTCAGGTAAATATTTACTCAATACAGTGTCACCGCGTTTATCCGGATGTCATTTATCCGGACGCTTCACCATCCGGACGATATTTTTTGGGAACCGATTTTTTCCACGTTATTTTGTCTCATTATCTGGAAATTCGCGTTCCGCATCCGGACGGTCGATTTCTACTACAAAACATAATAGTTCATTGAAAAAATGACTTGTTTATCCAGATGGTAATTTTTCAAGAAACAACTTTTTAATTGTTAATTGTTGTAAAAACGTTGGCCATGCAGTCAGTTTGAAGTCGGTTACCTGTGACCTACAAACAAAAGCGTCTATAATTAGCGTGTGTTTACCCCAATTAAATCACAGGATTATTATGGAGCTGGAAGAATTTAGCTTACACTGTGCATTAATTAAATAATAATCCGTTCAAAATAATACTGCTAACCGTATATACATCGGTAAATTCATGAGAATTTTGGAGAGTTGTAAATAAAATGAACAATATATTACGAGCGATTTCGTACTGCTATTTATCATGTTGATTGCGCAAGTTTAAAATATGATTTTCCATTTCTAAATACGTAAGTGTATTTGAAACGCTTTTCTTTTTTTTTTTTTTTACACACAAGACAGTTTAAAAAGGTACATAAATGAAGAAATATCTTTCTTTTTAATGCACTACTGTCTATAAATGTACATTACTTTAGAAAAGAAATATAAAACTGGTGTTATGTATAGAAGTTGATTACGTTTTTCAAGGTATTGTTTAATGATCGAATTCAAACGTAGAGTCTGTAGAAAAAAAAATATTGATAATCATGAAGATGACTTGTGTTTACGTTGAGTAATTTTAATACTTCCATTGATTGCATGTGTTTGAGTTAGCTTGCAGTGTTCAGTTAATTTTATAGTAATCCTGTGTAATGTATATACGGGGTTAGGTTATATTTGAACATTTTCAATGATGATCCTGAACAGTTCTGTCATATCATTTGAGCTTCAGTAATTATAATATATGGCGAAATAAAACAACAGTAGATCAAAATTTGCTTAGCCCATGAAGTCACATGCCAAAGAGAAGGCGAATAAAATTCACTGAGTTTAAAAAGAAGGTCTCAGCATATAATTATAATTTTTTTTGTATAAATTACATTTATAATATATTTTTTCTTTAATTACTTACTTCTTCTAACCCTATGAAATAAAAACAATACACCAAAATATTAAAGTTTCTTTTCTTTGCCGTCACATTTGATACAAGAATGCGTTTAGAGAGTGCTTTTTGAGAAGTGATTCAATTATCTGGACGATTTCGTTGGTGACAGAGGTGTCTGAATAAACGAGGCGCCACTGTATATCAAACTATAGCTTAAATTTTAAATGGATCCTTGAATTATTTTTCTGTTTGTTACTTCACGTCAAAAATTGCATAAGTATTTGCTCAGGAGATTGCAATAAGCATACAAGAGATGTTTAAGAACTTGTCCATCTTAATCTTAATGACAGGGGTGAATTTTCATTATTCCATTTATATTTGTCCAGAGTAGTCCTCCGATGGCTTAGACAATACTAACAAGAATCACAAGTAACAATAATTAGCAAGTTGTGCATGCAACATTCAAAATGGTTGCCACTGCTGTGGAAGAGTAAATGGAGGAAAGTCGGATCAGGGTGATGTAAGCTATTGCTTGTAAAGTTTCTGGTTGAGATTTCTAATTTCTGATAAGGTACATGATCATGCATAAATAACTAGCTTGATGAAATGTCAAAAGACTAAAAACCCTAAATTATTTGTCTTGTATTTCACACCACTGGCTATAGTGGCCAAACTCTGTGTTCGAGTTTGTGTGTGTGTATTGGAAGTAAAATTATAATCACCATCTACAAATGCACCTCCCCCTTTCCCTCACTGAGAGTGTGAGCACCTTTGCATGCCCTACTTTAATAAGAAAAAGCTATAAAGCAGAACTGATTTTTTACTATCTTTTCATTTGTACTAACATATAAAACTATATAACAATTAAAACATAATTAAAATTTTTATAAACAAAATCAAAACTATTTACATATTAATTATAAACAAATATATTATTTGAAGTTGTTTGACTTTTACTTTTTACAATAAATCACTGCCTTCTTCTTCGCTGTCATATTTAATGCCTGTACAGTATTATTAAAATCACAACCAACCTTTTCTTGAAACAATTTCATTAAAAGATAAAGAAATTTCAAACACTGAATTTAAAAATCACATGTTCACAATTGATTGAAATTATAAATCATCTGTTTTACATTGTCAATTATTCAAAAATCATGATTGCACTAAATTCTACACACCATGAATCATTTCCAAAATAAATTTGAAATAAGGCTACATATTGTTTTCCTAACATGGTTTTTTTTTTCTCCATATAGTTATACCTTTCTGCACCAACCAAATAATTACATTTATACAATATACATATATCTACCATGTAGCACTTACATTCACAAACCTTAAGATGCAAAATATCTCTTAGTTAAGGGGAGGGGAAGCAATCCTTGATCTGTGAAGAATTTTCTTGTAAATAAGGAGATAAATCTTGAAATATTTATAGTACACTGTATACAATATGGGACAAAATCTGGCATGCATCATTGTCGAAGACAGAAATTTTATAAATGATTTCACTCACAAAGCAGAGAGTTATCTCCCTTAAAAAGACAGCCACATCTATAGTTATGAGAGTTGCTCCTCATCTCATTAAAATTAATTCAAATGTAGTAATAAAATGTAAATTAATTCCCCTCCTGAAATTTAGAAGGTCTTCAAGACTTCTAAAGTGCAGTCCATTATACATATAAAGCAGATTCTCATTTTCTACCTAAGTACATTGGCAGGTTAAGTATATATTCTTTAACAATGAAGAAAATATATAGTAAACTACATTGTATATACTGGCTGTTGGTCATCTTTCAGATCATTTTCATGCTTTAATCACACATCACAATCCATTCAATTTAAAAAGAAACATTTGATTTAAAACTTCTCTGTGAATACTTGTACGTTTAATTTGCAAAAAACTAAGAGAAAGGAGAACAAATTACGAAAAATAATTCAATTTACATATAAATTAAATTACTTTTACGTATAGTTGTTTACAACGCAAAAAGACGTACTGTATATATATTATCTTTAATGGATATTAATTTCCACTGACAAGTATATGTAACAATAATGTAGTTTTGAGGATTGTACCTGAGTACATGTCAGCAAACTATTATATGAAGCAATCAATTACAAGCTTCATAATGGTGCAAATATTTATGATATTACAGGCTTGCATTGAGGTAATGAGATTTGAAAACATTATGTGATAAACCTAGGTGGTACGTGCAAGATAGACTAGGTTAAATCATCGTCATAAACTGATCCTTTTGCGTCCACTAATTAACAAATGAAACAAAAAATCATTTCCTCGGCATCTTTCTATATCACTGATTGTATGCCCCAAGTCACCAAAGCATGATGTTGTAGACCTCACTTTGTTGGTGTATTCTTGAACAACTCATGCCCTTGTGTGCCCTAGTCATCATAACATGGTAATAAGATGAGTTCAGTAAGCTCATAGACGATGAGCCCCAGCATAACACATGCCTCAGTAATCCTAGGATGACAAGCCTTTCATAAATCATCTTCTGTACAGCCAAACAGTCAAAAAAATTATTTTTGATTCCATTAATGCTGATACATAACTTTTTCCATGAGCTCCTCGTCTCACTCATGTCCTAGTAATCATACGATGATATTATGGAGTCCACTCCGCTGACAGATGACATTCATCCTATCCTTTAGATTCTCCTCGTACCTCTGGACGTCCTCGGGGGATATCCTTTTAGCACTGTCCAGTATCGACTTGTGGACCTCCGCCCTCTCTTTCTTTGTTATGTACACACCTTTCTCAAACCTCTGCCATGCCTTCTTACGAGTGTACTTCTTCAACTTTATTAAAGCATAGACTATGGCCTGCAATGATTCAAAAAATCATAAATACATACATGTATAAACATAAATTTACATGTACTTATAAAATAAATGAATCTATTTTCTAGCAATTCTGATTGTGGGTTAATTTCTTTTTGACTTGTGAGTTTCATGCTGTACACTATCTTCTATAGAGTGTATAAAAATGATGAATCTTTCCCCATTTAGAGTTCTAGTACATGTATGTTTGAAGTTTGAGTAGATAGATTAAAAACAATATAAAATACTCAATCCTAGGGTAAGTAATTAATACTACCTGTAAATCTAATGCACCTCAAAGAAAAAATATCTTAGTGAAAGCTTACAAGTTGATTATCATTTACAATAATATAGGGTATGTATAACTTACTACATAAGTGTAACTACATGTGAAAAATGTTCAAATATATCTATATATATATATATATATATATATATATATAAAATGTAACAACATGTATATTCAAGTTATGCAACTCTGTTCCCATATCAATACTTATGCTACATAAAGTCCTCAAGTACACATGTACATCAAATACAATAGCTGAAATTCCTTTTATAGACACAAGGTTATGTCATTCATAAAACAGATACCTCTGGGATCCAAACATCCAAGACATAATTCCAATCAGGGAACTCGTCACTAGCAACTCTTGTCTCCTGTTTGTACCAGGCCAACATAGTGTTCAAAATGTCATCATGCTAAAAAGAAAATATATGTTTGGATGAAAAAAAACATGAAAAGAGCAAAGAAAATCTGGAATTGCTTCACAATATCCAAAATTCTTAACACCATGGGTTCATCATATTTGGAGGAACACTAATTTTTTTTAGTTTTCATGGCCGAGACAAACCACAAAATTACATGTAGGTTTATAAACACAGTACAAATTTGACAACTGACAGAATAGGAAAAGGCAGCTGTCCATGAAATTACATAGGAACAAAAACGTATTTGCTGCCAAATCAAAACAAGATGTGTTTGTGAAACACTGATGTCCCCGTATGGCAGCTTATGGCAAAGGTTAAAGTTTCTCAAATGCAAGACAAATTCCAGGCCAAAAGATAAAAAATGTTAGTACCTAAAGAAGGGTCTTTTCTCGAGGAATATCCCTGTGAAATTTGAAAGACCTATCTGCAACTGTTCAAAAGTTATGGCAAAGTTTAAAGTTTTTTAAAAGCAATTGAAACGTCAAGGTTAAGGTCAAAGTGGTTGGTATCGGAAGGTCTTATCACAAGGATTACATATGTGAAGTATGAAAGCCCTAGCACCAACCATTCAAAAGTTATGACCAAGGTTAAAGTTTTTCAAAAGTAGGTCAAACTCCTATGTCAAGGTCAAAGTGGTTGGTATCCAATGGAAGGTGATGTCACAAGGATTACATATGTGAAGTATGAAAGCCCTAGCATCAACCATTCAAAAGTTATGGCCAAGGTTAACTTTTTTCAAAAGTAAGTCAAACTCTCAAGGTCAAAACGTCAAAGTGGTTGGTATCCAAGAAAAGGTCTTGTCACAAGGATTACATATGTGAAGTATGAAAGCCCTAGCTCCAACCATTCAAAAGTTATGGCCAAGGTTAAAGTTTTTCAAAAGTAGGTCAAACTCCTAGGTCAAGGTCAAAGGGTCAAAGTGGTTGGTATCCAGAGGAAGGTCTTGTCACAAGTAATATACATGTGAAGTTTGAAACCCCAAGCACCAACTGTTCAAAAGTTATGGCCAAGGTTAAAATTTTTCAAAAGTAGGTCAAACTCCAAGGTCAAGGTCAAAAGGTAAAAGTTGTTGGTATCCAAAGGAAGGCCTTGTCACAAAGAATACAAATGTGAAGTTTGAAACCCCAAGCACCAACTCTTCAGAAGTTATGGCCAAGGTTAAAGTCTCATAAAATTTTGCAAACGTGGGTCAAACTCCAAGGTCAAGGTCAAAAAATCAAATATGGTGTACCCAAAGAAAGGTCTTGTCACAAGGAATACACATGTGAAATATGAAAGTCATAGCTCCAACCAAGCAAAAGTTATGGGCAAGGTTAAAGTTGACAACAGACAGACAGACAAATGGACAAACAAACAGACAGGACAAAAACAATATACCCCCAGGATCTTTCGATCCGGGGGCATAAAAAAAATGATTCCCATAAAAATCAACACATTATCATTAAGCCCACCTGCTCCTCGTCAGCGATTGGTCCAAACCCAGGGTTCTTAAGGCCGTCCCTTGCCTTAGATAGGCCGTATCTGTACGTGGTATGCTTCTCACTCTTCTTCTTCTCTGTAAGGATATCTATCAGATATTGCTACAAAAGATTTATAGCAGATATTGCTACAAAAGATTTACATATAATTATTCTCTAAGGACATTTAGCTGATATTGCTACAAAAGTTACACAATACATGTACTATTACTTTCTGAGATTATTTAGCAGACACTGCTACAAAAGTTACACAAAACTATTACCGGTACATGTACTCTCTAAGGATATCTAGCAGATATTGCTAACAGATTTACACTGTACAGAACATCCAACAGATATTAATACAAAAGATTTACAACACAGTAACATAACAACTAAAGAGTTGCCATATTATCACTGAGGATACGAGTAATTGAAGAGTATTGTGGGTTTGTTTCACTTCATGCTTTAATAAGTTGTTCATCACTAACATTGATACACGTAAAACGGTCACTTTACCTTTAAAACAATCTACATACCTTTACTTCACTAGATTTTAAAAACTTCACAAGACTCTCATTTCTCTCTTTAATCTTCTCATATCTAAAAGTTATAATTTATATTAGTTATACATATGCTTCTTAAAATAACTGCAGTTACTGAATACATGTTTATAAGAGTAACTAAGTACCAGAAGTACAAACGCAAACAAACAAACCTAAAAGAAAAACCCACAATTCTTTTTTTTTCAAATTATTTTAAAATTTGTCCAAACATGTGTACTGAAGAAGACACCTTTTTGTTATTTCTGGGTCAGGTTCCTCTGAGCCTATAAAGATGAGACTCTCCCCACTGTCTACACTGGGGGTGGACATTGGTGAGGCTGGGAGAGACACTGTGTGGGGGACAGGTGATGGGGGTGGGGAATTCTCACAAACCTCTTCCTCCTCTGAAAAATCAAAATCGAAATATTCATCACGTAATCATGATGCAAAAATTTACTCCTGAAAAATACACTCTACTATAACATTGAAGATGATGGCTGGATTTTGTGTCTATACATAGCGTATGTGTTTTTCTAGGATTAATAGAATCATCCAATTAATACTTCGAGTGTGGGATAGTGAAAGTCTACTGAGGGTACAAGATTCATGGTCTAGGACAAAGGTTAGCTGAGTCAGAGTTATCTACCTTGTAGACACTCCATGAATTCAGTGTCCTCTCTCCTCAGGGTCCCCAGGATCTTCTTGGTCATGTAGTTGTGTACCGTATCTACAGCCTTAGTAAATCTCTCCCGACCCTCACACTCTAAATTGTTTCCCTTTTCCTGTGTTTAAAATAAAAATGTTAAAGTACATGTATAATCTGTACTTGTATCATTTAGACACTCTAGTTTCTGGCTTACCATATAAATCATATAAAATTTATTTTAAAAAAGATAATGGTGCAATTTTGAAAGAAGTTTAATTGAAGCCAATTCATTCAAATGTAAGTTCCACATTGTGGTTACTTAAGTAATATGTATTTAAAAAAGATGAACCAGAAAGCTCAATATCAAAAGAGAAAAAAAAGCACTGCTCAACAATTATTTATTCATATTTTTTAACAACTTTAGTATATACAATTCTTGAGAAAAGTGTAATGTACAAACCATGAAGATATCTGAATCCTGGGTGTTATAAGGGATTACTGTCCTTGGATTGTAATTAAGGGTCAGTCTAAACATTAATATGATACACATCAAATTACGAAAAGTTTTTTATAAACTCTCAAGGAAAAATCTTAGAATGAAGAGAGAGAGGTTACCAAAGCTACATGTAAATAATGACAGAGTTCTACCTGTATCTTAAAGCAATTATTACTCTGAATCATGCAAATTATGAAAAATCAAGAAACTGATTACCATGAATTGTCTCCCTTAGGGAATGCTCTTCAATTAAAAAGTTACCTTTTAGGGATAGAGCTGTGAGGCTCAATCACAGTAAGGGACACCTTAACTATCCTCCTCTTTTTTCTACCCAGTCTTCTGACCTGTTAACACATGTCTAATATTGTCAGTCCAATTATACTCTATTTATGTACATCAAGGCAAAAGAGGATTTCTTAAGGACTGAGAGCTTATTGTGTGATAACTGGATTTCAGTATCATTGTACTTACAAAAGCTGGCCAGACAGGGCATCCTTTCCACTTTACCCATACAATGTCTCTCTCTTTAATTGTTACTGAAATACAAAACAGCAAATCAGAACAGGATTAAAATTGTGTGTGATGATACATGTACCTTCATTTGTAATATGATCTTAACAGTAATACATGTATCACTAGAGGTCAAAGTACTTTTTAAGGATTGGAATATTATTTTACTTTTTACTTATTACAGATTTACACGCATCACAAATATTAGATGCTTCTTGTTTTTAGTAGCTCAGAATGCAAAGTAATATCTATTTGATATTTCCCACCTGCCCAAGTTGTATAATTTTTGGATCAAAAGTTCCTGAAGTTTTTAAACAATTTCACCCTAGGCCATCTTTAAAAAAATGTTTTCTTGCCCTCTCCCAACTCAGGATAAAAAAAATTGGGTTGGTAGGTAGGTAAGATTTTTTTCTTCAAAAAAAAAAAAATTGCGAATATGAAATTAAAAAAAGTTATTTATAGGTGAGAAATGCATAAAAAAATGATTGTTTCCCTGAGGTTAAAAAAAAGTTTTGAGTCGGGCTGCTTTTTGTTCAGTTGGTCAGGAGAGGGCAAACAAACAATTTTTTAAAGATGGGCCTAGATATTTTTACTATTTGTTTGTAATTTACATTTGAACAAACTTGAGTCCTTATTATCCTTGGACACTTTGTGGCAAGTTAGTTTGTAACTGGTCTAATGGCTATGGAGGAAGTGCTGAATATCCATTGAAATGTTTATCCATAATCATGATAATGAAAGATTGCTAACATTATTAGTTAAAGTTCTGTTGAAAGGAATTCTAATATTTTTTAAAGTACGTCACTTCAAGGTCACAGAGTCAAAAATCAAAATATATTAGGAAAGGTCTTGTCACAGATAATGAACACCTGAAATATGAAGGCCCTATCTTTTCTCATTCAAAAGCTATGAACAAGTTAGTGTTTTGTGACAGATGGATGGACAGACAGACAGACGAATGATATTAATGTCCCCTAGCTTTCGTGAAAGTGGGGGACAGTTATAATGAATCCATTATCAAATTTACATGAATTGATCTATGTGCTTGAAATAAATCTTGCATTTTAAACAACATTTGCTTTTAAGGTATTTAAATCCCCTTCTACACCAGGAAGTATAAACCCTGACAGGTTGATAACACAGCTAAGTGTGTCACGCGGTCCGAGTGCATAATTATAGATCTATAACGAGGAGGCCGCCATTACTGGTCAGGTAATAAATATAGGAAGAATAACTTGTTTTCTGTGCATATGAACACTTCAGAAAATCACTGAAAACTCAGTTCCATAGGCTTTAACTATGAGTATCAAAAATGTCTTTTAAAATCAAAAATACAATGAACCTTGTTTATATAATGTAATGACTTGTCTATCGACATGTACAGGCTTGTAGTACATGTACATGGCAGGGCCCAGCCCTCCCCACTTCTTCTGGAGGATAGTCTTTTACTGTAATTTAAATATGAAATTTTTTTATTCAAAGGCTGCTTAAAGATCCAACCTCCCCATGAAATAGGATTATGAGTTTGGGGAATTTACATTTTTTTTCATGCCCCCGAAGATTCGGGGGCATATACTGTTTGCCCTGTCCATCCGTCTGTCTGTCTGTTTGTCCGCAGAAACTTTAACCTTGCCCATAACTTTTGATTGGTTGGAGCTATGGCTTTCATAATTCACATGTGTATTCCTTGCGACAAGACCTTTTGACCTTGACCTTGGCGTTTGACTCACTTTTGCTAAATTTTTTCCGACTTTAACCTTGGCCACAACTTTTGAAAAGTTGGTGCTAGTGCTTTCAATCATCACCTGTGTATACCTTGTGAAAAGATCTTCCTTCGGATACCAGCAACTTTGACCCTTTGACCTTGACCTTGGAGTTTGACCTACTTGTCAAAAACACATCTTGTTTTCTATTGCTTGTCAAATCTTTTTCTAGGCTTGCCCCCTTCCCCTTGAAAAACATTGCTACTGGCCTGATGTGTTATGTACAAAACTTGTCTATCTACTTACCTGCCTAATGGCCATAGGAAAATACATGTAGTGTGTTTTCTGGTCTGACAAAATGCATGTTGCCCTCTGCCCTTAAACCCAGTAAATAAATGTATTATTATTAATGTTGAGTTTTTTGCTTCAGTCAGGAAATCTAATGATGGACCCTCAAACCAGTGCCCAGGACGTGATGCGATGTGACCTGTGTGAGACCGCTGTGGTACAGATGCACTGTGATACATGTCTTGTCAACCTGTGTAAGGCTTGTGTGGGAGAACACACGATATCTGATCAATCTATCAGTCACAAAGTTGTCAGTTTTCAAGCCAGGAAATCCACTCCTCTCTACCCTGGATGTACATATCATAGCAAGGAACGATGTAAAATGTTCTGTAAACAATGTGACATTCCTGTCTGTATCAGCTGCATTGAATCAAATCAACATTTAGGTCATGAATTATATAAAATCTTGCGAATTCTGGATGAAAAGAAAGAAAGTATTACAAAAGAAAGAAATGAATTAAATGATACAATTTACCCCACATACCAGGACATTGCCTCTGATGTACAAAACAGAATGAGTCAGTTTGAAAAGGAATATGGAGATCTCTCAACAGCCATAACAAAACATGGAGAGGACTGGCACAGAGAAATTGACAAACTTGTCCAGAAACTTAAAGCTGAAGTTGATGAGATGAAAAATACACAGTTACAAACTCTACAGAAACATCTGGATGAAATAAACAAGAAAATTTCTGACATCAAGGAAGAAATCAATACAATGGAAATGGCTATAGACACTAATGACTTGTCAAAACTATTTAGTGTCACCTCCAGTGTACATATATACAGAAATCTTCCCGACAAAATTATGCCATCTTTACCCAAATTCATTCCAGGAAAAATCCATGAAGAACTTGGTAAACTGTTTGGAGCCTTATCACCAAGTTCTTTAACATCAGATAAACATGGCTACAGCATGAAGACACCACAGAAATCACCAGAAGCTGGATCTTCTCCTCCAGTCAAACAGCTGCTTGATGAACCAGAGACTGTCACCACCATAGACACTGGGTATGGTAGACTTTACAATGTGGCCTGTCTGAGTGATGAAGAAATCTGGACAAGTGGAAATGACAAGACCATGAAACTCTACAACATCAATCAGGGGTCACTACTCAAGTCAATTACAACCATGTCAGGGAACATGCCAGAGGACATAGCAGTGACAAAAAGTGGAGATCTAGTTTATACTGATTATGATGATAGAAGTGTGAACATTGTGAAGAATAAGAAGATAGAGGAGGTGATCAGAATACAGAACTGGAGTCCTCACCGTGTCTGTAGTACCTCCTCTGGTGACCTCCTGGTTGTTATGGACATTGATGACAACAAACAATCAAAAGTTGTCCGTTACTCTGGCTCCACAGAGAAACAAACCATTCAGTTTGATGATAAAGGTAAACCACTTTATTCATCATCAGGAAGTATTTTTTTGGTTGAATATAAATACATAACTGAGAACAGGAACCTGGATATCTGTGTTTCTGACAATGGAGCTAATGCAGTAGTGGTGGTCAATCAGGCCGGGAAACTGAGATTCAGGTACACTGGACATACTCCTGCTCCAAAGAACCAACCATTCAATCCACGAGGAATCACCACAGACAGTCAGAGTCACATCCTTACAGCTGATGATTACAATCACTGTGTCCACATCATAGACCAGGATGGACAGTTCCTCCGTTACATAGACTGTGGACTGAGTGAACCCTGGGGACTGTGTACAGATACAAATGACAATCTGTTTGTTGCTCCGTATGGAAACAGACAAGTGAAGAAAATCAAATATCTGCAGTGATATGGATGACTGTGTTGTATTCTAGTTATATTACTGATGTATCGGTATGCTGTACTATGAAGTCTTGCAATAATATATATTTCAGTCTTATTATCAATGCATATCTTTTATTAATTAAAAAATGGACAGAAGATAAGTGAAACATTGAATGAGTTCTATGTATCCTTCTAAAAAAGGTTTGTACATCCAGGTTCTATCTGGATGCAAACATTTCCTTGTTTTGTTAGTTTGTTCTTTGAAATAACACAATGTATATTTCTAAAAACAAATTTTCTTGAGGAGTATATTCTTACACAATGTAATGTTTTTTAAATGCAGTTTCACAATGGTGGAACAAGATACGATGTATTATAATAACAAGAAATATGTGTGGTAAACAAAGGCTATGTAGAATCTGAAAGCGGCACTACTAGGTGATTAAAAATAAAGATTCAACAGTGTAGAAAAATGATTTTTTTTTTAACTGTTAGTTTTTAAAATTGGAAAATAAACTCAGTTACATTCAATGTAATATGATTTTTATTCCTTCACAAGGAAGTTGGAGCAGATTTAGTAATGTGCTTGTGTATGTGTGGGTGAGTGCCTGCGTAACTGAAATTATGCAAGCATGACAGGGGATACCACGGGATTGTCGTCAATATGCTTTTTTGTGAGAGGATGCTCTGCTTTGCAGTTTCCTTGTTTAAGCACAGATTTTGGGCCAGTCTTTTTCATACATACAAGCCCAGTGGGATAATGAAAGTTATCGATTGACTAGTAAAATTCTAAGTTGGTAGCCCGAGCGACCAGTTAAAAAACTTATTGAGTCCATGGGTCACATGGCTCACCTGATCACTTTGTTCATATATGCTTTCCCAATTTCTTCGGGAGTCTACTAATTTTGAATCCTATCTACCACTTGTCTATCAATATATATAAATACACGGTTACTGTCTTGAAATATAAGCCATATTCGTGCGAGGGTAAGAAAACGTGATAGAGGGTGAGGCTTCGACCCAAGCCCAAATATCGCTATATTTCAAGACAGTATCCATGTATTTAGTTTATCCTGCAAAATATATTACTTAACTTCCAAAATAAGCTATTTTCATCCGATTTAGGTACATCTCTGCAGTTGAAACTATAAGACGTCATGGCATAAACATTGCAATATACATGATGTCACAATGCTTTTAGAACATCGGAATACATGCAAGAGGCTTTATTAGGGCATTGACCAAATAAAGCTTTGGTTTATTAGGTTACATTTATTAGGTCAATGCAAGGGGTAGTTGCAGGATAAATATTTTTATCCTATTTCTATTGACTTTCAGGAATGCCAGATTTTTTACCAATCCGCTCTGAATACCATGTTACATGTGAATAAAAGATAGTAGTTTGAATGTTTGTGGGTAGATATCTGTTTATTGATAATAACAGGTAATCAACAAGGTGTCAACTGTGCTACCAGTTTAATTGCTCTCGATTGTCATTAATAGTGTATATTAACCAGGACAAGCATGCCAGGTGTGGAAATTTAAGAAACACATATGACAGGATACAAACTAGATATGAGTTGACACTTCACAGCAAAATTTGACAATATACTTATAAGCAGCTTGTAAAAGGTTCAAGTTTAGGAAATGTGGCATTCCTCACTATAACTACGAACAATGTCAAGTACTTTTAAGCAGAATCCCCGTGATCATACCTTGTCTAGATGGCGTAAGTACATCTGGTAAATCTTCATCATCAGAATCACTTACATAGCAATCATCAGCATCAAGATTGGGGTCAAAGTCCTCTCTGAAAAAAAAATCAATATAAATACACCTTACTAAATTTTACTAATTATAAAAATAGGACATTCTGAGAAACATGTTATAATCTTATTATCTGTTTTACCTTTTCCCATCATCATTGGTAGTAAGCTGCTTGGTGTCTGTTTTGCTGTTTAGCTCTCCAGTGTCCACATAGTCTGATGAATGTTTCAGTGTCTCTGGATTCAGGGAATCATGCGGAACACCTTTGTCTTCTCTGATATTTTCCATAAGACACGAAGCCTTCTCAGAGTTCAAGTCTCCACCATACGGTATTGGCGAGCTACCTTCCGAGTGATCCATTTTACCACCATATGGAATTGGAGAACTGGCTTCATTATAGTCCAGCTTCCCACCATAAGAGATTGGAGAACTGCTCTCATTGTAAACAGTCTCCTCCCTCGTACACAATTCTTCATCCCTCTCCTCCTGTATCTCCGTTCTTGTGTCACCTCTCCCCCGTCTTTTCTTTTTCATGGTTTTCCTCTTTTTTGTGAACTTAGAGGTAGAGTTTTTGATCTGGCCTTTCCTGGTCTTATTTCGTTTCATTAATTGTGGCAATGAGTCATCACCCTCCATTAATTGATCTTCCTGATTATCACTAGTTGTCTTCACACAGTTTGCGGACTTGAACTTTTTCCTAGACACTGATATCCCCTTCCTTTTTGGTTCTACGTTGGAATAACTTGAACACTTTGGTTTTGTATCACCTTGAGTACTTTTTGAGACAGATGATTTACGTAGATTTTTCTCATTGGTGGATTTGTTTGACTGGTTCACTGTTGTGTCACTAGTTTTGCTATTATGTTTTTTTCTTTTTTTACCAGACAGACTTTCTTCACTGCCAGACTGTCTTTTTCTTTTGGCTCTAGTCAGTGACGTCACCTTAGATTCAGGATCCATAGTGTCTGGGTTAGCACAAGTTTCGTCACTAGAGGTTTGATTTAAAGGAACACATTCTACATTCAGGGACATCTTATCAAACATATTGGATGTAGCCATTTCATATGCTGTTTGAAATAAATCTGTTTTCTGTTTGGTTTTTAGAGTCTTTATACCTTGGAAAAAAAGAAAAATTTTGTACACTATAAAACAAAATGCATGACAACTACAACTACTACACAAACTTGCATCTAACCTACATGTGTACATGGAACTTTTTTTATTTCATTTTTATGGGTGGTGGCAGAAGGAAAAATTTAATTGTTAAGATGGTGGCCTCTTTAAAAAAGTGCCATCCCCTCATAAACGTTTTGCTGGAATAGCTCTACATTTAATTGGCCCTATAGTTCTTTAGAGGATTTTAGACTTGAATTCCTTTTTATAATAAGAATGCATTCTGTCAAATTTTCTTGAAATCTGCCCTGTGATTCTTTTTCAAAATATTTAAAAATAGACTTAAATGCCCATTTTACGAGGGTATATTAGTGCCCTATATTTTTGCTGTGATTTAAGCTAACCAGAAGTCTCTGATGAGACTGTAGCTCTACTGGTTGTATTTATAAAGGAAGATAAAAGTAGCACTTGGACTTGAAACTTTGCAACAGCAATAAATAGAATAATGATCCTTGGTTTAGTCTCTTTTTGGCAAGATTTATTATTATATCAGACTAAAACTGTAGGAGGAGTAGCCTTTTAAAACAATTTTACTGAAATTTTGATTTAAGTAACCATGGAAACATCATTCAACAAAATCAAAAAACAATAACACCAATTATGTATCTCTGTAGTCTACTTGTATGCCACATTATTCTGAAATCAGACAAAAAGTGTAGGAGGAGTAGCGTTTTAAAAGTATTTCAAGAAAATGTCTATTTTTAGTAACCATGGCAACACCATTCATCAAAATCTGAAACTGGTACAGAGAATTATGTATCTTAGTGTAGTTTACTTGTATGCTAAGTAATACTAAAATCAGACCAAAACTGTAGGGGTAGCATTTTGAAGGTATTTCAAGGAAATTTCTATTTTTAGTAACCATGGCAACATCGTTCATCGAAATCAAAAACCGATAAACAGAATTATGTATCTTATTATAGTCTACTTGTGTGCCAAGTTATATTGAAATCAGATCAAAACTGTAAGAGGAGTAGCATTTTGAAAGTATTTCACAGAAATTTCTATTTTTAGTAACCATGGCAACACCATTCATCGAAATCAAAAACCGATATACAGAATTATGCATCTTAGTATAGTCTACTTGTGTGCCAAGTTATACTGAAATCAGATCAAACCTGTAGGAGGAGTAGCATTTTGAAGGTATTTCAAGGAAATTTCTATTTTTAGTAACCATGGCAACACCATTCATCGAAATCAAAAACCGATACACAGAATTATGTATCTTAGTGTAGTCTACTTGTGTGCCAAGTTATATTGAAATCAGATCAAAACTGTAAGAGGAGTAGCATTTTGAATGTTTTTCACAGAAATTTCTATTTTTAGTAACCATGGCAACACCGTTCATCGAAATCAAAAACCGATAAACAGAATTATGCATCTTTGTATAGTCTACTTGTGTGCCAAGTTATATTGAAATCAGATCAAAACTGTGGGAGGAGTAGCATTTTGAATGTTTTTCACAGAAATTTCTATTTTTAGTAACCATGGCAACACCGTTCATCGAAATCAAAAACCGATAAACAGAATTATGTATCTTAGTATAGTCTACTTGTGTGCCAAGTTATACTGAAATCAGATCAAAACTGTAGGAGGAGTAGCATTTTGAAGGTATTTCACAGAAATTTCTATTTTTAGTAACCATGGCAACACCGTTCATCGAAATCAAAAACCGATAAACAGAATTATGTATCTTAGTGTAGTCTACTTGTGTGCCAAGTTATATTAAAATCAGACCAAAACTGTAGGAGGAGTAGCATTTTGAAAAATTGTTTACAGACGGACGGACAGACAGACAGACAGACAGACAGACGGACGGACGACGGACACATTACTATCGCATAAGCTCTTCTGGTCTCTGACCAGTAGAGCTAAAAATGTGATTGATGTAAATATACGTGTACATGTATGTTAAAAAATAACCTTATCAAGAATACACTCATTTATTTTCATACATGGTAGGTGGCAAAATCTGTTTAAACCTTTTAAATTCTATTTGATACCAGCATTATAATTTCTGTAAACAAAATTTGCAATGTTTGATTTTATTTACAGCTGAAGTATCAATATTGAAAAAATCCCATTAGAAACAAATCCTTATTTTGGCATAAAATCTTTGATTTTACAATTTTTGATTAAATGAATCACAATAAAACTGGCTATGAAGATAAAATACATGTATCTGTCTGCCAATTCCCCATCAAAACTATGCAAAGATAATGAACCAATGTATCGAAATAAAAGCAGTGACTGTACCTTTATTGAGGAAGTCTTCTTTCTCTGAGCAGCGAAACTGTTTGATTTTCTTGAGGTCTTTAATGTCCTCTCTGTCAAGCAATAAAATAAAACAACGATTCGTGTACCTTAAGTATTAAAAACAGGAAATAGAGAAGTTACAGGAAATGTTGTACAAAACATTTACATGCTGTGGTTAAAATGTAATTTTTACAATAAACAACATGCAGTTGTATTCTCAAAGTAATACATGCATGTTTGTACAAAAACCAAGATATGACACAGCTGCCTAGCATCAAAGTGTAACATGCCCCCGTTTTTGCTCTTCAAATTTGATTTTATAAAAACTTTATCTAAAATTAAAGGATGTCAGTTGAACATCTACATAGTTTTAACTGCTGCTAGCCCAGTTCAATGTATAACTAGAACTGTCCAAAAGGGACAAATACCCCCCGCAAGGTTTTCAGAGAAGGTGCCAAGTCACTAATACTAGTATTTGATGGATCTAAGAGCAGTTCACTATTTGTTTAAACATTTAGAGTGAAAATTTACTGGTAATTGCTCATTAAATTTTTTAAATGAATGAAACTAAGGCGCAGCCTAATAAAACATCAATACTTATAATAACGTTTTTTTTATTACATTGAAAAAATAACAATTTTTGAAGTATTTCTCTGTTGGAAAGTATGGCTGCATCATTTATCCATTTTGGAAAGTATGGATGCATTATTTATCCATTTTTTCTACAGTGAATATAGGTCAAGATCATGACACACCCTCAGGTCATAAGCAATCTTTGTGTGAAGTGGAAACTCCCAACATTATTCTCCATTAGAAAGATACAGACCGGGCAGGAATTATGAACTTTTTCTGTCAGTGACCTTGAACTTGCCCAAATGACCTTGGGTCAAGGTCATGAGACATCCTCAGGTCATAAGTAATCTTTGTGTAAAATGGAAACTCATCAAGTTTATCCATAAGAAAGATATGGACTGGAAACAAATTATGAACTTTTTCTTTCAGTGACCTTAAACTTGCCCAAATGACCTTGAGTCAAGGTCATGATACACACTCAGGTCATAAGCAATCTTTGTGTGAAGTGGAAACTCCCAACATTATTATCCATAAGAAAGATACAGACCGGACATGAATTATGAACTTTTTCTTTCAGTGACCTTGAACTTGCCCAAATTACCTTGGGTCATGGTCATGACACACCCTCAGGTCATAAGCAATCTTTGTATAAAATGGAAACTCATCAAGTTTATCCATAAGAAAAACATACACCAGACACAAACATGAAGTCTGTGAGCCAATGCTCACTAATAATACCCCCACTCTGATGTGAATACACAAGTTCAGTTATGGACAAACACAGTGATAATCAGGAAATTGACATTGGATTAGTAAAAAATGAATCCCAACATATGGCATGCCTAAACAAATATTGTGTTAAGATTTCAAGCACCTGCGATGAGTAGTTGCTGAGAAAACTGTGACCAAAATCTGTTATGTATGGTACAGACAGATGCAGGGATAAACAGGAAGTTGACATCGGATTTGTACCAAAATGAATCCCATTATATGGCATGCATAAACAAGATTGTGCTAAAATCTCAAGCATCTGCGATGAGTAGTTGCTGAGAAAACTACGACCAAAATTTGTTATGTACAATACGAACAGACACAGAAATAAACAGGAAGTTGACATCCGATTTGTACAAATATGATGAATCCCAACATATGGCATGCCTAAACAAAAAGAGTTTGTTAAAATTTCAAGCATCTGCGATGAGTAGTTGCTGAGAAAACTGCGACCAAAGTTTATTATGTATGGTATGGTTAGATAAACAGGAAGTTGACATCAAATTTGTACAAAAATGAATCCCACCATAAGGCATGCCTTAACAAAGAGTGTGCGATGACTAGTTGCTGAGAAAACTACGACCAAAATTTGTTATGTATGATACGGACAGACACGCAAATAAACAGGAAGTTGACATCCGATTTGTACAAAAATTATGAATCCCAACATATGGCATGCCTAAACAAAGATTGTGCTAAAATTTCAAGCATCTGCGATGAGTAGTTGCTGAGAAAACTATGACCAAAATTGGTTATGTATGGTACAGACAGACGCATGGATAAACAGGAAGTTGACATCGAATTTGTACAAAAATGAATCCCACCATATGGCATGCCTAAACAAAGATTGTGCTAAAATTTCAAGCATCTGCAATGAGTAGTTGCTGAGAAAACTGTGACCAAAATTTGTTAGGAACAGACAGACAGACAGACACAGACAGCTAGACAGACAGACGGACAGACAGACAGACACACAAGGGTAAAACAGTATACCTCCCTCTCCTTTGAAGCGGGGTATAATTATGTACTTTTTCTTTCAGTGACCTTGAACTTGCCCAAATGACCTTGGGTCAATATCATGACACACCCTCTGGTCAGAAGCAATCTTTGTGTAAAATGGAAACTCATCAAGTTTATCCATAAGAAAGATATGGACTGGAAACAAATTATGAACTTTTTCTTTCAGTGACCTTGAACTTGCCTAAATAAGCTTGGGTCAAGGTCATGACACACCCTCAGGTCATTAGCAATCTTTGTGTAAAATAGAAACTCATCAAAGTTTATCCATAAGAAAGACATAAACCTGACACAAATTATAAACTTTTTCTTTCAGTGATCCTGGACTGGACACGTTTGCACAGACAAACAGAGAGACAGAGAGCTAGAAAGACGGACGGACAAGGTGACTCCTATATACCCCCCCTCCCCCCCAAACTTCATTTGCAGGGGGTATAATGACTTACATGTCGTCTTCATTGAAAAATGCAACACAAATAGACGGCTTGTTCCTGCTTTGTGTCACTTCCTTCACCTGCAAGATCAAGTGGTTTTTCTAAATGTAATTAATCCAGAAGTCTCTGATGCTAATGAGACTGTAGCTCTACAAGTCTACACTTACATACATGTACATGTCTATAAATGCTTTCATGAATATCACATTTAACAAAGATTTTGAGAATTTCTTTCCATTTAAAGTAACAAGTACTACTGAAACAAGACAAAGACTAAAGGAAAAGTAGGCATATTTGAAATGATTAAATAAAATTGTTCTAGATAACCTTGGAAATATAAATTAAAGAATTATGAGTCTTCTGCAGTTTTTAATTGTATGTTTCATTCAAAAAGCCAAATTTATAGCACATGCACCTGTGGATCTCTTACCTTTGCTGGCCACCAAGGTAGCCTGGGTAGTTTAACCCACACTGAGGCCCCACAGGTGAACTGTGACTTTTCATCAGCATTAGGGGAACACGTCTGGGGGATAGGTGAATTTATCCTCTCCTCTGACTCAGGTACAGGTCCAGTGGACATCTGATGATCCTCCTGTAGTTGCGGTTTTGATTTAGATTTTCCTAATTTATCTGTCTTTTTGATATTCACTGATTCCTCCGACTCCTTAGTCTGATGACCTGAATCATCTTTTAAGTCTGGATCTGATTGGAATAAACGTTTTCTGTGTTCACCTGTTTCACCTGTCACTGATGCCTCTGGGTCTTCTAAGTCTGGACAAGTGGAAGAGAAACACATTGAATAAGGAATTCTATTATACATGTACATGAAGCTGGAATATTGTTATATTTACATCTTAATTTGAAGTGAATATATGATACTGTGGAATCATCAATGTTTGTGGGGGACCAATGTTAGTGGAATTCATGGTCCCCAAGAACAATTATTTTGTCAACATACATGTATTTATTAATTAAATCTTCTGTATATACGAGTTACCCACAAAATTATGTCTCAACTAACCATGAACATTGACCCTCACGAATTAAAATGATTCCACAGTATATGCTTTAAGTCAACAAACTTTGGCAACTCCTTATTTTAGCAAGATAGGCAATTATCATTTATGAGCAAGACAATTTTTTAAAGAATTTTGTCTTTTGTTTTATAAAATCTTTTATAATAAAAATATATGCTAGAATTTAATTTTTGCAAGCATACAGCCTTGCATAATAATGCAGAAATAAAATTCTCATGAATAAAAGGTCATTAACAGTATATGTATAACTACTAGTTCATGACACACATACTCAAGTTATTGCAACAGTTATATCACGTATGAGCTAAAAAAATAAGAATTCTTATGAAAAATGTCCCATTTTTTTTTATATCAGTGGTTTTGACCTTGTACAAATGACATGGAGTGAAGGCCATGACACAAGCAGATTTGTGCCATGTACATGTACAAGCTTCCAGTGTTTCTCCTTATACAAAGTTATGAATGGGATATGACTTGGACATTTTTCTACCAGTGATCAGGAATTCGTTAAAATGACTAGGAATTAATTTAAAAACACATTCTCAGGTCAAATTGATGCATTTGAGTGGGATTTCACTTACTGTAGTGCAACTAAAATTTACCTGAATTTTTGTCCATATTTTCAGCCAGTTTTAAAGCCCTTAAAAATATTTCTCTTGTTTCTTTATCTTTCGATGTTTTCATTCTAAGACCTACAGTAAAAAGATACAAAGGACATTTAAATACATGACTTTTGTATATATCTAGATTCAAACTTACCATGATTTCAAAATTATTCAGCTTACAAAGATGTTCTTAATTTCTTTGCCACTTTTCACTAAATGATAATACTCTTTGTTAAAATCTCCATGTCTACTGTTTTTGAGAACAATATGGGCAATTTTTACTTGAAATAAAGTTTTTAAAAAATCACAGCAGAAAGGTAAAAACCATCAACATAATCCCAAAATTAAAAAAAAAAGAAAAAGAAAATATAAATTGATCTCTCTTGAAATGTAAAACAAAAGTGAACACAGGAAATATTTCACTAATTGCATAAACTATTTTGTGGTCTCACAGACAGAATTTACCACTGGATACCGATCTAATGACTAACCTTCCACTTTGTGTGTCTCTCTCATTGGACAATTGTAGTGGCAGATTGACTTCGGACTGGTAATTCGAGCACTGCAACAATTATTTTAAAACATTCAATAATACATACAATGATTGTATACCATCCATGAGTTCAAAAATTAAACACCATATAAGCAGACTTTTTAGCGTGGATTCAATTTTGGCATTAATAGAGAGAGTGCCCTCACTAAAACTGAATCTCGCTAACAATTAATTGCATATTATTTGTAATAGCTTCTTTAATAAGCATTATAAAATCTCTTAAATTTCTTCTCTCTGAAAATATACATCAATTTTTAAGGATAAGTTGCTAAATTTGCATCTTGCTAAAATTTCCACTTATACGGTAAATCTCTGTTTTCAATCTAATGACTTATTTCTGAATGATGTCTCAATAAATAGTAAATCTCTGATTAGACAGAATATAATAATATTCTTATTAATAATAATATTGATAATATAATTCTATTAATAATAATATTAATAATATAATTCTAAGCAATCTTTGGACAAGCATTTCAAAAGTGATAGATCACTGAGTTGATATGGTACAGCTTATATTGTAATACTAACGATGTCAACACGTCAGATATTTTTGGTACATGTGCACTTACTATTCATCTTCTCCTAAGTACTTGACAACTACCGGCCTTCTTTTATTTTCGTACATCAGCTCTTGCATACATTCATCTTCAACTACCTTTAAAGACAAAGATTAAGGCAGAACATGAAATGTATTTATAAGCAACAACAGCTATTTAAGTAATATACATATATACTGGTAATCAAATAAAAAATTCTTAAAAATTAAAACATAGGTAATCAAAGATTACGAAGCTCACCTCGACGAATGTTATCTACATGTAAGGCAAATTTCACATCATATTTTTTTTCTAGTCAGGGTACATCCCAAGATCAATATCCATGCAAGTTTGATTTAATTATAGACCTGCTCAAAAAACTTTTGACCTGTTTAGTAATCAAGAAAATTTTGGTCAGTTCCAACATCCAAAGCAAGTCTGGAAGTTTTCATCCTTAGATGCACCATCTATGCAAGTCTAATCATAACAGGCCATAATATTATATAGCTACTCCAAAAAAATTACCCTGGTCATTCATCTGGAAAATGTACGTCAGATTCAGAATCCAAGACAAGTCTGGAAGTGTCCATCCCTAGATACATCATCCATGCTAATTTGGTTAAAATATGGCTAAAATTCACTCATGTGGAAAATCTAGGTCAGATCCAGCATTCAAAGCAGGTTGGTTAGTGTACATCCCTAGATGCATCATCCATGAAAGTTTGGTCCAGGTAGGGCTTATAGTTACTTGGGAACGAGACTACTCCTAAATCTAAACCTGGTCACTCATCTGGAAAATCTAGGTCAGATCCAGCATCCGAAGCAAGTGTGGTAGTGTCCATCCCTAGATGCATCATCCATGCAAGTTTGGTCCAGGTAGGCTTATAGTTACTTGGGAATGGGACCTGCTCCTAAAACTTTAACCTGGTCACTCATCCAGAAAATCTAGGTCAGATCCAGCATCCGAAGGAAGTGTGGCCATGTCCATCCCTAGATGCATCATCCATGCAAGTTTTGTCAAGGTAGGGCTTATAGTTACTTGGGAATGGACCTGCTCCTAAAAATTTAATCTGGTCACTCATCCAGAAAATCTAGGTCAGATCCAGCATCCGTAGCAAGTGTGGTAGTGTCCATCCCTAGATGCATCATCCATGCAAGTTTGGACAAGGTAGGGCTTATAGTTACTTGGGAATGGGACCTGCTCCTAAAACTTTAACCTGGTCACTCATCCAGAAAATCTAGGTCAGATCCAGCATCCGAAGCAAGTGTGGTAGTGTCCATCCCTAGATGCATCATCCATGCAAGTTTGGTCCAGGTAGGGCTTATAGTTACTTGGGAATGGGACCTGCTCCTAAAACTTTAACCTGGTCACTCATCTGGAAAATCTAGGTCAGATCCAGCATCCGAAGCAAGTGTGGTAGTGTCCATCCCTAGATGCATCATCCATGCAAGTTTGATCCAGGTAGGGTTTATAGTTACTTGGGAATGGGACCTGCTCCTAAAACTTTAACCTGGTCACTCATCCGAATATCTGGGTCAGATCCAGCATCCGAAGCAAGTGTGGTAGTGTCCATCCCTAGATGCATCATCCATGCAAGTTTGGTCCAGGTAGGGCTTATAGTTACTTGGGAATGGGACCTGCTCCTAAAACTTTAACCTGGTCACTCATCTGGAAAATCTAGGTCAGATCCAGCATCCGAAGCAAGTGTGGTAGTGTCCATCCCTAGATGCATCATCCATGCAAGTTTGATCCAGGTAGGGCTTATAGTTACTTGGGAATGGGACCTGCTCCTAAAACTTTAACCTGGTCACTCATCTGGAAAATCTAGGTCAGATCCAGCATCCGAAGCAAGTTTGGTAGTGTCCATCCCTAGATGCATCATCCATGCAAGTTTGGTCCAGGTAGTGCTTATAGTTACTTGGGAATGGGACTTGCTCCTAAAACTTTAACCTGGGACGCCGACGCTAACGCCGACGCCGACGCCGGGGGTATAGCATAAGCTCATCTCGACTTCGTCGAGGTGAGCTAAAAAAATTGAAATTGAAATTTTTCTTAATAGTGGCACTCTAAAATGTTGGTGAAAATTTCAAACTCAACCTTATGTACATTGATTAACATGCTAAATGCTAATAATGACCTGCCGAATTCAAATGCAGGGGGGTAGAAATATGATAAAACAAGAGGCCAAAGGGTCTTAGTGGTCACCTCATTACAATCATACCAACAGTTTGACTGCTTGATATCCAGAAGTATAGAAGATCATTAAAATAGCATTAAGTTTGAGTTTTAGCCCCACACCTCAGGGGGACAGGGACCTGATTGATGACTCAGCTGACCTAAAAAAATCCTTGCAAAAATATCCTTATAGTATTCAACATTTAAATGTATATGATGTATATGATTTTCAGTTTTCATTCTTGATTTCCATATAAGGAAATGTTTTAATGTAAACTGATTTACCTCTGCAGGCCACCAAAGCAATACAATATTTGACTTGTATATGATTTACCTCAAAAGGAAACCAAGGCATTATAACATTCAACTTGTATATTATTTAACTAACATTTGACTTGTATATAAATTAACTTGGAAGGACACCAAGGCATTATAAAATTTGACTTGTCTTTGATTTAACTAACATTTGACTTGTATATAATTCAACTTGGAAGGACACCAAGGCATCATTACATCGGACTTGTATATAATTTAACTAACATTTGACTTGTATATAATTTAACTCGTAAAGACACCAAGGCATTTTAACCTTTGACCTACAACTGTTTTACCTCTGCGGGCCACCACGGCTGTTTATTGACTTTCACCCACACACGGTCTCCAATCTTGTACTGCTCCTTCAGTGTGTTGTCTACTTTTTTAATCACAGGCGAAAGTTCATTCATTGATCTTCGACTGCTACTAGGTGATGCCATACCATCAACTTAATGCTAAAACATTAAGAAGAAATATACTTAGTTCACTATTAGTGTAATTAGATAGAATGTTCTCTAGCTGACACAAGATAATTACATGTTATTGTTAGTGCACTTGAAGTAAGACTAGATTTTGTCACATACAACCAGAGACATTTACTTTTTATGGGCCTCTGCAGCAGATTTTCCATAATTTACCATGAAACCCTATGTATAAAAACCTTTATACACCCCTTCCTGCATAGAAACTAAACAAGCTATTAAGGCAGTAAATAGAATTAACTGTTCAATAAATATGAGAGCTTTGATACAAATTATTTTTTTTAAGTCCCCTTCAAAAAAATCAATATTTTTTCTTGTATATTAATATTATTTATCATTCTGATGTTTTACCAAAATGCAAATGCAACTTTGGTATTTTTTTTCAGTTTAGTTTATATCAGAAACATGAACTGCACAAAAATTTACTTTACTGAAAGTTAAAATCTTTATTTCCTATTTGTTGATATTTATTCTTTTTAAATCTATCTCAAATTCTTCAGTGACTAATATGTTGACAGTATGACCTTTGGGGTGAGGGCAGTTTTTTATTATTGGATAGCCTTTGGATATTCACTTTTAACTTAATTAGATCTGCCTCTTCAAACTGCACAAAACATTTGGAAGGTCTAGACTGCAATGTCACATGATGCCGTATGTTAGCTAAATGTTTCCACAACAAGGTCTAAAATGTGCATTTTTTTAACAAATATTGTTAAATCTACAATCTATCTACAATATCCATGAAATCAAGGTAAGTTTATTATTTATTTGTAAACATTTGTTTGGTTATCATCAAAATTCATTTGGGCACCATATATAATTTATGGAGGATTAAGAATATTGAGTTCACTGTAAAAAAAAAAAATGTATTTGATCAATATGCAGACAGTCTGGATTTTCTCTTCACCCAGGCATTGTTTAAGAGCTTGCAATGATGAGTGGTGCTTTGCTACACTTACTAACATTTATCACCACATAATTTCTTTATATTTTGTCTCATCAGATCTACTTATATATCCAAAATACAGGAGTCTTGGAACTGACTTTAATTGATAAAACCAGGTAAATTGTTGCAAATCAAAAAGTTTCATGTGCTAACTTAGTTCACTAAACACTAGACGAACTCCAAAAATGTGAACTCTGAAAACGAAGTCTTTGGCTCCATCATGCATTGCAGCAAAATGGCGTCCGATGTAAACAAACGATGGATTGTCGTTCGCTTTCTCCAAATATACGGCTGCATAATGGCTGTATTTAGTGCATTGTGACTTTATTTTAATTTTTGTTGAATGGATAATTACATTTATTAAATTATTTTGTGGATGTTGACTTATTTATCGCTTCAAACTCTTGCATAATAGTAAATTGGATATACAACATTGAATTCAATACTGCCGGTAAGAATTATTTTCTTATTTGATTTATTGTATCCTTGATTTAAATTTTATGTCATTCCTACAATAAAGGTGCTTAAATAAATTTGTTTTTAAGACACCCAGCTTGTATTTATTTTAATCAGAAAATGCATATTTTTCACCACAAAGCAGAGATATTCACAGGTTCATTTTTAGAAGACATGTTGTGACTTTAATTTCTAGAAGAGTGGTTTTTAAAGTTTTCATATTGATAGATAATAGTTTTAAAAATGTTTTCATAATAATATCTGTTCGTATGTGACAAAAAAATTGGTAGATAACGATGGAACTTACGCACTCAATTCACATGTTGTACACAAATAACAAACCGGAATGCTAATTTATGCGTAAAATTCAGTCAAGATTTTAACAGATACAATATATATTGTCCTATACTGCATATATATCCCTTTTATTATACATATTTACTTCTCAACCGTATCATTTTCTCTGTAATTGATATGACGTCAAACGTCAACTTTGAAAGTGAATATCTCCTTTTTTGCAAATAAAATCAAAAATCTGACAAATATGATTTCTTCTGAAGTCTTTTATTTAGCATTTCTGAGTACTGCCATAATTGCCATACTTTCAAAAACTCTGCACGGACAGTTTTTGTAGACCCATCACTTTTGCCGAAAAATCACCATTTTTTGTGTTTGTGCACATGCACAGACTCTATTTTCGGAGTCTTTTTCAGTCTCAATTTCTTACTCTTGGAAACGCTGTTTTTGGAGTTCGTGTAGACTGCTAAAGGAGTCTATATCACAAAACTACATATTGAAATACACAGGTGTCATGTACAGTGGAGCATGTTATCTTGTCCAACCTCTAATGTCTGTGAAATTCATAAGAATGCAAATAACCTTTGACAAGCAATGACTTATTAACTGAAGCCGTACAAGTGTGTAACAAAAACAGACCAGAACTGATAAACAGTATCGTACAGGTCTAGGAAAATCAGTATATTTAGCTATATAGCTAAATCTACCTATATAGCTTTATTTACCTATATAATATAGCTTTATTTAGCTATTTCAGAGTAAATTTCTGTTTTATGAAAAGCAGACAAAAAGTCGCATAATGAGGCAGTATTAGTTTTCAACTTTGAAATGGACTGAAAACAATTCACCAAAAACCCACTTTTAAAAATGTTTCTCCTTTTGTGCAATTGCAATCAAAGATCTAAAAGTTTTGGGGCTATGTATAACAGTTAATCTGTGAATAAGCAGCTACTTTAACAAAGAAAAGCAGTTTTGGTCAACAAGATAATTGATTGGTAAAAATTCAGCACAATGCAAGGCAATCACACTTAGTCATGCCTCATCGCACTTCCAGTAATGGACAGCTATCCAAACAATAGAGATGCATTTTTGGTTAAAAAGTGTTTAAAAGAGGAAATGTTTTTACTATCTATGCCCTAGGTTGTTTTTATCAAACCTTTTTAAATAAATATCAGCCATAATTTATATGCGACTTTTTGTTTGCTTTTCATAAAACAGAAACTTATTCTAAAATAGCTAAATAAAGCTATATTATATAAGTAAATAAAGCTATATAGGTAAATTAAGCTATATAGCTAAATATAGTGATTTTCCTGGACCTGTCGTATGCCTATGTTTTGTACAATCGAGTAACTTGTCTGCATCTTCACAAGATAACGGCCACAGGTCAAACACGCGATGTGATGCACGTTTTCAAAAATCTACTGTGTGTATACTACCAAATTATCAAATCTTACCTATGCTATTTCTTTCCTGTCCAATTTGAAACAAGTGTTTCGTTTCACACAGCAATCATCATCATGTTTACTCACTGCAGGAAAAAGCGTCGGATTTTAGCGCATGCGTAGTTAAAAACAAAAATAGAAATTCAAGTAATTTGAACTCAGGAATTTCGAGGTTAAAACAGAAAAAAGACGGTGCTTTAAGCAGCTGTTAAGATACCACACATACAAGCTATTTTTTTGGACACTGAATATACGTTCATATTTTAAATTTCAAATGGAATTCAAAATACAAAAAAAGGCTGATTTTTAACACCCCCCCCCCCCGGATGATTTCAACGGAACTATCAAGAGAATTTTACATGAAAAAGAAATATTTTTTAAAGTTGGTAATTCCATCTTTAAAGTTGGAAATTCCAATTTTAATCTTGGCTTTTCCAACCTTAAAGTTGGTAATTCCAACGTTTATCTTAATTGGTCAAAAATTTGGTAATTCCAACTTTTAAGTTGGCTTTTCCAACTTTGAGGTTGGAAATTCCAATTTTAATCTTTTTTTCCCAACTTTAAAGTTCGAATTACCAACTTAAAATATATATATATATTACGGAAGCATATTAGTGCCATGTAATATATATATATATATATATATATATATATATATATATATATATATATATATATATATATATATATATATATATATATATATATATATATATATATATATATATATATATATATATATATATTACATGGCACTAATATGCTTCCGTAATAAAGTAAAGAATTACTGATTATAATGTAGAATAATTCATTAATTTAAATTCAAATTCTTAAAAAACCTCAGTAGGATCCACAACTAAGGGTCAGTCAAAGTAAGTTCATCCAAAATTTAACCGGACTTTTTCCAATCAAAATAATCAAGTCACCCCATCCCAATGAAATACAAGTAATTTTTCAATTATTTTGCTTGATGTAAATTTTTTGAGTTGGCTTTGTCGCCCAGAAAATATAAGTCTAAATTTGGGAACATAAGTACATGTATTAATATAGGATCTCCCATGGTTTGTGGTTGGATATGATTTTTTATCCAACGAGTTGTGCGTTTTTATCCCCGAGCCTTGGCGAGGAGACAAAAACACATAACGAGTTGGATAAAAAAATCATATCTATAACCAGGGAACTATATACTATATAGGTCCCTGCTATAACCACAAATCATGAGGGATTCTTTTTATCACATGTTTTACACGTAGCTTTTTCATGTTTTACACTGCTTTATATATGTAAATCAATAATATTTGACTTAATCAAATTCACACAAAAACCATTGATATGAAAACGATATCCTATGCATGGCCGTAGGAACCGGGGGAGGGGGGGGGGGGGCACGGGGGAGGGCCGTGCCCCCCCCCCCAATAATTTTGCCGATATATACAATACTATAGAAAACATAGCTACTATATACTTGTGCCCCCTCAATAAAAACGTCTGGTGACCTTTTTTTTTTCATTTTGCTTGTCAAGGAATTTTTCGTTGTTGATAGTGACCCCCCCCCCCCAAACTGCAAATCGGAAAATGTATGGTTGTGCCCCCCCCCCCAACTGAAATTGCTTCCTACGGGTCTGCTATGAGCTATACCCAGTCTGTATAAAGGAGTAAACATGTGATAAATGTTAATATTTCATGGAGCAATGATACTACATGCTGTATGTGCTAAAATTGTATATTCAGAAAAATTCAAAGAAACCTCAAACAATTATGATTCCTAAATTATTTTTATCCATGCATCAATTTATAATTAAGGTAGTTCGCGGGTTTGCTGACGTCGCAGTAAGATTCGATGTAGAAAGCTTACCGCGTTTACAGTATCAAGCTACAATTTAAACAACAAAAAACCAGTATACAACGAAACATACATAAAGGCATGTGGCATGCATAAAAAGTGAACTGTACAAATATTTATTAAATAATTATGTAATTAAAATTAAAGGACGTCTGTTAGTTCAGTGATTGACAAGTCATTTCGTTCTATGAAGTACATTTATGAGTATCCATGATCATTACGCTACCTTTAATCTTAAACTTGTGATTCATACATTATATTGATTTTAACATTTACGATATAGGTTTGCAAGTGCAGTCAAATCCGATTACTTGTTTATTTCTTATATACATGGAGATTTGTTCAAATATTTCCACATTGCTTCAGTTTATCGAGAAAAAAAAATCATTTGACTTCTCTCCTGTGTTTCATTGAAATAGTGTGGGTAAACTATATATGGCAACTTTTACAAGAACATTATCATCAATCAATAAAAATTGAATTTAGGGATAAGAATTGCATGCTTTATTTTGAGTACTAGTAATTTGTATAAATATTCATATTTATTTTACTCGCACAGGCATACGGAAATAATGACGTGACACATACGTACATGTAATACATAACGTTGTAATGAAAATATAACACATTTGATGAGAAAGTGTAAAATTTTAAATTTTTTTTGTAAGAGATTGAGCTAGAATACATATTAATTTTTTTTTGTTATATATTGATTCTAAATCAACATTCATTGTGTTAGTTACTTACTTGGTCTGCTTCATTTTAAAAATTATGAGTATATGGTTTTAAAATGCGTATACGGGTGTGAAAGGCGCATTTTACTAGTATATATTTCATAGAAATAGCATCAACATTTGAAATACAATTACAACATAGCCATGCAGACGAACCTCAAAAAAATTTCGGAAATAAAATTTTGAAATGAATAAACCAATTTTTTTTAGTGTATGTTTTCAGACAGACAGTAAACCCGCGATCTACCTTAATTATATAATTGTGTGCATTTGGATATAAATCTATATTATATATGTACACAGGTACATTATTTGGAAAAGGTATACGAAATATACCAATATCACTTTTGGATGAACCCTCATAGATTTTTTTTTTGTACAGTACCATCAAAATAAGCATTTCCCAATGTACACGTGCCTTGAAAAATGTTTTAAATTAAATTACAAATTTTGATCATCGCAGAAATCTTCACTATTTTAAATTGTGAAATAAAATATAGTTACTACTTAATTTTTAATACAAAATAAGACAGGATTTTTAAAAAAAAAATTTAAAATAAATTTTAATAGACTGAATATATTGTTTGTAGCAGATAAATCAATAGATTCCTTCTAAATGAAAAGAAATACATTTCTAGATTTTAAAAATATATATTTATCACAGACCTTGTACATGAATATTTATGCAAAACTAAAAATAAAGTATGGCTAAGAATGTGCAACATATGCAATAAATATTGGTACATATAATCACAATTCATATCAACTCAGCAAATTTAAAATTTCAAAAGGATTTATGTTACATTATCTGGATGGAGTAGTGAGTGTATATACAGAACTTAAATTACAAATATTGTCTTAATAAAACATAGAATTCAGTTATTGAAAACAAAATCTAGAGACAATAAAGGCTAGCACCATTTTCAAAGGAAAAACAAACAAACAAACAAACAAATAAAAATAATTAAAACTGAAGGTTACATGCAAATCTCACATGTAAGCCACCACATATTTATCTGCAAAAAATATATCTTTCAAAAAAGAATCAAACAATCATATGAGCACTTGAAGGAAAATGAAAAAAAAAATAATCTTGACTATTGAGAAATATTGAGACCAGTAAGAATTAATGTAAATAAAAAAAAAGCACAAACAGAAAAGATGATTTGATCAGGAGGCCAACTGAGTCACGTCTGATTAACTACAAAGTAATGATAAACTACTCTAAAGTTTGAAAGAGTGCAAATATCCTAACAGTTGACAAGTGAACACATAGATAATAAATACTACAATATTTATAAAATAATATTTTTCAACTACAATACAGTCAGACCTCATTATCTTGAACTCAGTTGGATTAAGAAAAAAACTTCGAGAGATCTAAGGATTTGAGATATCCAGGGTAAAATACTTAAAGAATAAGTATTTGGGACTTTGAAATCGCTTCGACATATCCATGTAAGTCGAGATATTCCGAAGTTCAACTGTACTTATAAATCATTAACACTCATATGACCAAATTTCACCCCTCTTTAATTTTTCTATTTAAAAATAATTGTTGGTATACATATATTCCACCTGAAAAAAAAAATAATAAAGTACTTGCACAGGTACATATGTGCTTCAAATTTAAACACATTTCAAGGGAAATAACTCATGTATACGCGAAATCACTAATTTTCCTGGGGGTTTAATTTTAATTGTTTTTATGATATGAAGAGACCCATGAATTCATGTCCCCAACAAAATGTAGAATTTCAAATATATAACACTGGTGGATTTATAGGGGGACTCTCCTTTTGTGACCCAAATTTAGTAAAGATGAATAAATACTTTTCTTTTGGTTGTTAGATATAGCTTTTATATGCATAAAAAATAGCTAAAATAACTCAACCCCCCCCCCCCCCTGTTTTTAAAAGACTTGAAACCTGGGAGCTATGCTAACATCCCTGGCCTGTTGCACACCCCCTTTCAGAATCCTGAATTCGCAACTGATTACCTCTCAGCACTTCTTCAAGCACGAAATCAAATCCTCCCAAACTGTTATTTTTTTTTCTCAAACAGTATAACATTAAGGGCATGAATTATAAACTTAAATCTGTAGACAATGTATTCTGAAATCTCCATATCACTACATTAAAACAAAGCCAACATCAACATCATAGTCATTGTAGTATAATAATTAAACCTCATAAAAATACATGTATATCACAGCAATACATTCAGGACTTGTCACTATTTAGTCATATACTGGTTTGAAGCCACTCTTTGATCCCCCACTGAAGTTTACAGGGGCTTCGTTACCGACAGGTCTATTGGACTGGGGAATAGTCCCCTCACCCTGGGTCAGAGCTAGGTAAGTACTGTCATCATACTCATCCCCCGTTAAGGCAATGTTACGTAAATTTGGCATCTCTGCAAATGGCAGGTACATTTCCCCTGGAAATAGAGTTGTTCATATAATGTAAAATCATTGGAAGCCCTACATTCTGAATGTTCATGAAAAAAATTGCTACAGGTAAAGACAATTACAAGTAAATGGATGGAACATTGATTACCAATAGAGGTTATGAAAGGACAAAGCCTACAGTTAGCAATTCCTAGAGGCACCTGCAGTCTTACAAGAACTCTAGAATATAATACCCAAACCAAATGGAGTCTTCAGGTTTGCTCTATAGACTGTAGTATGAGGTGTATACAATTTTAAGTTCAATTTTGAAATTATGATGCATTTTTGTATACACAGAATCATTGTGACCATCATTCTTTTCTTTTTCCCAGATGATTATGTGAAATCTCCTTACCAACTGGGAGGCCATTTTGCCGTCGTTCATCCTCCGTCTCAAAAAACGTTTCATGTTGTTCCCAGTGCTTGTCACAAGCAGCGCAAAGAAAGTTAGAATCGAACATCCCACAGCTGCAACCTGTGTTAGTGATCAGGAGAAATATTTAGAAAAAAAAACTTATTATTATTCAGGAACTTAAATCTGCCATAATATATCAAACTTGACAATTTGCCTGACTAATGTATAATTGTGTGAATTTTTTTTTTATGAGGAATAATTTTTTTAAAACCAATTTTTAAACATTCATACTCATATGATATTTCAGAAATATATCTACCCCTCTTTCTTTCTATGCAACGTAAATTGTATTGAATTTTAAAAATTTCAATCAGCTAGCCATAAGTAGATGTGGTTGTGATGTGTACAAACCTTTTGATTTACATCGCCTCATCACTGAATCGTGCTCTTCATGTGTGTGTTTACATCGACATTTTGCTCGCCATGTGCTAGGATCGAAATCTCTTCTCCTCTGGAACCAAAATTCTCCAACATCCTCGGGTCTGGATGGAATCCACGCAAAAGCCTTACATTTACAGCCTCCCTGTTTACATGGCACACGAATGCTTTTACCTACATGTACAACAGAAAAAAGTTTTTGTTGCAATACAATGCATCCAGGAAAGAAGGAATTTAATAAAACAAGTTTTTGCAAAAATAACATGACTCAAATACAATGTAAGTTTTTTGACTCCGCATCTCAATTTTGTTTGCTCTCTTTCTCTGGGACAAACAAAATAGATTGATACATTTTGAATGTCCTTAATTAAATGTTTGTAGATTTACTATATATCAACAATTAGAATCCTGCAGTATTCACCTGTATATTTATCATGTTCCCCAAGCAAGTGACCACAAAAACATTTGGACATTTTATTCACTCTCTGACAATCATGTTTGAATTCCGGGCACCTCCATCCTATGTAAATACCTAGAGAAAAATGATTAAATTAAAAACCTTTGAAAAAAAGCAACACCAAATTTAGACAGCAAAAACAGTTGATAATACAATGTATATCTTTGTATATCATATGTCTAGACACACACCACATAAAGTAACTGATTTGTGATTATAATTATGTATTAGATCTGCTATATTCTCAGTGGGTGGAAATTTGAAGATACCAGTTTTCTGAGCTTCAAGGGCTGCCTCTGTCTCAGGATCAAAGAGCTTTTTAAGTCTCGGGGCAAAGTCATCATTCATTGCTCTCGCAAAAGAAACCACATCATAGTTCTTCGCTGGCTGAATCTTTCTCACTGTGTAACCTACAAAAAGAATTTCAACAATCTGTTGATTTCTTTAATTAAAATCTAAGAAAATCAAAGAAATTTGCGTATAATTGAATGTAAACTTTGACAAAGATTGCTTAAGAAAAATTGTGAAAATAAAGTGAAAATAAAATTCTGTATTTATACTACAGATGTTCCAACAAACCAGGAAATATTATATATTTTTCTGACTTGGTGAAATATTTTTCATTTGCATAGAATACATAATTATATTTCCATCATTTCTAAACCAAAAGGAGAGATCATAACTTAATTTACACTTAATTAAGTTTAACTGTTATGAAGCATAAATTTAAACTCCATTATGCAGGAATTGCAAAATTCTCATAGTACATACATCAAAGCCAGATTAGTAATAATAAATTTAATGCAACATTACTTTTTTCAAAGCTCATATTCAGTAGAAACCCCAAAGAGAAGCAATCATTCTATGTCATTCATGTCAAGTTACCAACCTCTATTTCCATTTTCCCAAAACATGGTGCTTATAAAGTTAACTATGTACCATTAGAATTTAGTTTGAGAGTAAATGAGAACTTTCAACCAAACTCTTCTAAAGAAATGAAAATAAAATAATGGAATTGATGGGGAATTTTGAAAAAAAAAATTTTGTTATAAGTTTTTTTTAAAGAAGGATCTATAAAAATATGCAAACCCTCAGGGATGAGCATTCCATCTGCATCTTTAGTCATGGCTATCTGTCTGTTGCCGCGAGGTACCACTGCTTGGCTCCCAGCACCCCGTCCTGTTCCTCGTCCTGCCCCCCTTCCTGTACTCCGAGGAACGAGAGATTGACTGGTGTTTTTAGTCTGTTGAGAAGCCTATGAAAATAAAGAAAGAGTTAAGATGAAAACCACTACTTTAAAAATCAGATAGGCAACATTTCTATGAGTGAACGATTGAGATTTACATTTGTCTATCTGCATAAGACTTATAAAGCCATCTTTTATCATGTATATAACTTGAAAAATTAGAATACAAAGCTAGAGAAACTTATTTTGCTTTGAAATGATTAGGAATTCATAAATTCAATAAATCTTATTTCAGAAAAAAGAGGTACAGGCATGTATATATTCTATTTTTCTTCTAATAGCAAGTGTAATGAGTGGCGCAGGGCTGCTCCTACAGTGAGCTCTAAAGACAACGCCTAGACGAAGAAAAAATTTGGACATTACACATTTATCCTAATGAATTTTTTCCACTGTTACCATGAGACCCACTATGCAAAGCAAATGCATCTTGTTGTTAAGTTTCATTCTCGCGGTAACAACAATTGAAAATTCACAAAAAATGAACTCACCTTGATTTAATGGATATTAACATACAGATAGCAGATTATACATTCTTTGTAAAAATTTTACAACTTTTTAAAAACTTCATTTATGGAAATGCAGCTAATATTCAGTGTCATTTGACATCACATGAGTCTAAGCATTCCAAATGTCTCATGTAGTTTGAAGAGGTGGATCTTAGTTAAAAGTGAATATCCAGCAATGAACTCATACCAGTGGCCATATATTCAACATATTAAATATTCACTTGATATTAAAAATACTCTAGATAAACTGCATTAAGCAAGTACCTGTGCTATGATTTTTTCCGATTGTTAACATTTATTTTAGTTTACTTATGCTCTACTTATGGAACCATCATGTAGAGGCAGTGCTTGATTTTTTTTCTCTCTCTCTCTTATAAAAACAAGACCTTCCCTTACAAGAAATGTATATTACAGGAAAAGTCCATATTGGCCTTAACTAATTTGATGATCAAAAAGGATATGCAGATATGTATTAAGAAACCATGAGTTGAATATTTCACCTGCTTAGGTTTCGCGCCAGATGGAGTTTTTCCACTTGACATTTTGTGTAAATCAAAAATCCCCTCGATTCACTCTTTTAAGCTATTGATTCCTTCCGAATTGGTAGTTTTGCCAAATTACAAATGAAACTCCGCCTTCTTTCTCCGCCATTTATAAACAACAGGTTGTTGTGTCAATAAATCGAAGAAAAAAAACGTGAAAGGAATTTTTCCGTAATAATAAAAATAAGAAATTCCGTTTATTATGAATGAAAATTTATAAATAAAGATAAGGAAGGGGGTAAAATGCATGCAAAAATCTCAAATCAAAGAAATAATCCTGATATAATGTGTAAAAATCTTTTAAAAAATGAAATCTTGAAAATTCCGAAACTACCACTTCCGTTATGGTTCTAATTCTTACATTTTAAGAAATACTAAAAAAAGAGTATCGATTTGATAATTCATGAAAAAAATAATTTTTGCAGTTATTATATATCTAAATTTATTATTATTATTATCATTCAATATTAAAATTAAATTTTCTCGTTGGCGCGAGATTTTACTCATCCAAGATGTCGGACGCCTGGGGTACATCATGTGGCAATTTTAAACTCATATTTTATGTGATTAGTGTGTATATAAATCTGAATTAATACCCGATCATCTTTATTTTCAGATGCAGATGATTTTGAACCAGGAGATTTTAGTAATAAACCTTCAGATCGGTGGGAAGGGGAGGATGAAGATGACGTCAAGGTAGTGACTTTTATTTACGTTGTTAACAGTTTTACTCTTCAGCGAGTGATTAAATCCATCATCAATATATACCGATAAAATTTTGAGTAAGAAATGTCATTTAAGTGGGTTTTATTGTCAGGAAGTAAGTTTTTCAGGACGTTTTATGAAAGATCAATTGTACAGTCCTGACACTGACAGCTGTTCATCAACTTCATGTCACGAGATATATCTAAAGAAAGATTCAGTTGCCTATTGGCACTCATAAAGTATATTTTATTTTTCTGAAAACAAATCGTTACAGGAAAGTTGGGAAGATGAAGAGGATGAAGAAAAGAAAGATGAAAATGCTGGTAAGAATATATGGCCCAAATCTGGAGTTTGAGGTTGACAGAGAAGATATATTCCCTACTACCTAAACTCTGTCACCATAAACGGAAAACATGCCAGGCTACTCTCTCAATTATTTTTTTGATTTGTTTCTTATTTGCTACACTTAGTAATGTACTTAAACATTGTTTTCAGAACTATTTTAAAAAATTCAGTCATTGCATGGGCTTATACAAAACTACTATAAAGAGAACGCGTATCACATCCGTGTACATTACGTTGAATGAACCCTAACTCCGTCACCAGGGCCCTCTACAACATGTCAACGAATTGATTATAAATTTTTTTCCAGTTTGGTATTTTCTCCAGTTTGGTATTTTATCCCTTCACCTAAAAATTGTAAACAAAAAAAATTAGTTTTGAAGATTTAAAATAGTATTAAATTGTATTTTAGGAAAAGTATCAACAACAGACAAAAATAACATTAATATAACTTATTTTATATATAATAATGTCACGCTACGTTATCTCCAACGTGTAGCGTATTAGGACAAATTGAAACGAAAAATAAAATATTTTAGCCATATTCTATATGGTATGTTTTATTAATCCTTTGTCAAAGACCTTTATAAATACGACTGACATGTAAAAATGAGCATATTGACGCACATTTCGAAAGTATCGATGGAATAGCGCATGAAGGAAAAAGTGCTTACTGATTTCACATAAAATATGATAGATACAATAGACCACGTGTAATTGTTATTTATTTTTGACGCATTCTTGAACTTGACTGTCTTAATTTCTTGGCAATGGATTGTAGATTTTCAGCATGTAACAGGGTTCGAAATTCACTATATACAACTCGCAAATCGCGAGTTAGAATTCCCCAATTGCGAGTTAAAAATTAGGTAACTCGCAAAAACTTGCGAGTTGATTTTTTTTTGCATTGAAACTGTAGCAAAATTATATAATATGACAGAACACAATGCCTTTGATTTAAATCAGTAATTTAAATAAAAGTCACACTGTAGTTGTATTTTGTGTATCGTACAGTAGTTACTTTTTCCTTAAGTTACATGTATTTAATTTATATAAATTTAACTTTATATGAAAATTGCGAGTAGTCTTATAAAATTGCGAGTTCACTTTCTTGGTACTCGCAGTTATTTGCGAGTTGTAATTTTAGGGAGTTTCTAACCCTGATGTAAAAAATGACGTCACAATCGCATTCGTTTACAAACAGCGCAGAGTTTCCTGAAAGTGACGGAGTTAGGGTGGTGACGGAGTTAGGGGGTTTGGCGATAAACATTGTGAATAACAAGGATCTTATATGCTGTGTCTTTGTTTTTTCCACAATGTCTGGGACAAAACTAAATTTTATACTGTTTAGTGTTACATTGATGATTTGCTTTTGGACAAAAAGCCAGACAATTTAATTACTTTCTAAATCATGACTTGTTTTTGGAGGAACAGAGTTTTTTTTATTCATTCCTGATAAATTATCTATTTCACTGGTGATAATGAAAATACTAAAAATTAAGAAAATGAGGCCTAAGCAGTACCCATTATATAAATTAAATTTGCAGTTTATGTATCTCTTGTAAGGGGAAAATTTTATTTACTAGTCTAGAATTGAGTGTTTTTAAAATTACTTCGGTTACAGAGGTTTTTAGCTCAACTGAGTAAGCTTTTTGTTCTAAGGGTGTCAGGCGTACATGTGTCATCTGTCGTCTGTAAACTTTTCATATTTTCAACTTCTCAAGAACCACTGGGCCAATTTCAACCAAACTTACCTTAAAACATTCTTGGTTGAAGGGGATTTAACCCTTGCAGTGCCGGTCGTAGAGGCAACGACCCAGATGATGCCATCACAGTGCCGGTCATCAGTGACGTGAGACCCGCCATCTTTTCCGTTCAGTGCCAGTCGTCAGTATATATCTACTTTACACACGATGTTTTCTTTCATATTTTTAGGTCACCTGAGTTTACTCAGGTGACCTATTGCTATCTTTTTTCGTCCGTCGGCGTGCGTCGTCCGTCGTGCGTTAACATTTGAACATTTTCAGCTTCTTCTCTGGAACCACTGAACCAAATTCAACCAAATTTGGCATATAGCATCTATATGTGAAGGGGAGTAAAAATTGTGAAATTCATGACCCCTACCCCCCTGGGGCCTGAGGGGTGGGGCTAAAACCATCAGAATTATTGCAATCTTTAAAAATCTTCTTCTTTACTCCTGGGCATCAAGCAGGCAAACTGTTGGCATGAATGTAATAAGCATTGAGCCCTCTACCTAAATTGTGAAATTTATGGCCCCAGGGTCAGGGGTTCTGGTGCTAGGGTGGGGCTCTGTTGAATATGTAGTGAAAAGCATTATTCTTAAAAAATCTTCTCCTCTGCTCTTGAGTATTTAGGAAACAAACAATATGCATAGTTATGATGAGGAAAGGTGTCTCTTCTAAAATTGTGAATTTCATGGCCCCAGGGTCAGGGGTTCTGGTGTTAGGGCGGGTATCTAATGATTATATAGTGAAAATGCATTAATTATTCAAAAATCTTCTCCTCTACTCCTGGGTATTAAGCCGATGAACTAAGTACATAGTTATGATGAGAAAAAGTGCCTCTTCCAAAATTGTGAATTTCATGGCCCAAGGGTCAGGGGTTCTGGTGTTAGGGTGGGGCTCTGTTGAATATATAGTGATAATGTATTATTTCTTTAAAAAGCTTCTTCTGTGCTCTTGGATATTATGAAAACAAAATAAATACATAGTTATGATGATGAAAGGTGCCTCTTCCAAAATTGTGAATTTCATGGCCCCAGGGTCAGGGGTTCTGGTGTTAGGGCAGCGTTCTGTTGAATATACATGTATAGTGAAAATGCATTATTTCTTTTAAAAATCTTCTCTGATCCAGGGCAAACAAACTGAAGGCATAGTTATGATGAATAAGGGTGCCTATTCCTATGTTGTGAATTCATGGCCCTTGGTCAGGGGTTCTGTTTTAGGGTGGGGCTCTAATGATTACATAGTAAAAATGCAAGAATTCTTTGACAATCTTCTCCTTTTCTCCTGGGTAATAAGCCGATGAACTAAGAGTATAGTTATGATATGTAAGGGTGGCTGTTCCAAAATTGTGAAATTCATGGCCCCTAGGTCAGGGGTTCTGGTGTTAGGGTGGGGCTCTGTTGAATATATAGTGATAATGCATTATTTCTTTAAAAATCTTTTTCTTTGATCCTGGGTATTTAACAAACAAACCGATGCATAGTTATGATGAGTAAAGGTGCCTCTTCCAAAATTATGAATTTCATGGCCCCTGGGTCAGGGGTTCTGGTGTTAGGGTGGGGCTCTAATGATTACATAGTGAAAATGCAATAATTCTTTGAAAATCTTCTTCTTTTCTCCTGGGTATTAAGCTGATGAACTAAGAGTATGGTTATGATATGTAAGGATGCCTCTCCCAAAATTGTGAATTTTATGGCCCCTGCATCATGGTTCTGGTGTTAGGGCAGGGCTCTAATGATTACATAGTGAAAATGCATTAATTCTTTGATAATCCTCTGCTCTCTTTCTGGGTATTAAGTAAGCTTACTAAATGTAAAATTATGATGAGCAAGTGTGCCTCTTTCGAAATTGTGAATTTCATGGCCTCTGGTTTAAAACATGAATCCAATGTGGCGAAGTTGTTGCATGATACTCAGGTGACCTATAAGGCCCGTGGGCCTCTTGTTTAACCAATGATATAAAGGGAATCCATTCATTTCAATATATGAAAAAATCTTTTAAAGACTGGGTTAGTCATATAAATATGGAAGTATCCTCAGTTAGTATAGATTCAAATTTGTTAAAATAATACCCCTCCCCTGCCCCTCCAGGGGTGGGGGGCATTTATATATTTTGAACTTTTTAATACTGAACTTATTTCTTCTTTTCTCTAGCCGAAGTACTTAGATTAGAGATATGTTGCTTGGGCCTCTTATTGTTTTTTTCGGTAATTTTTTTTTTTTAGCAATTAATAGTTGATAGTACTTAGTAGTACAGTACTTGGTGTTATTTAATTTTTATCACTTGTAGAATCAGAATCCAAACCTTTCCAAAGAAAGAAAAAGAAACCATTGGCAGAGAGAATAGCAGAAAAACAAGCTGCAAAGGCAGCATCCGAGGTCAGTGCTAAGTAAGAAGAACAAGC